TCATTCAGCCATCCAATAGTCCGTGGGTGTCACCCATGGTATTAGGGAAGAATAAGGACGGGACCCTACGTTTTTGCGCCAATTACTTCCGCCTGAACAGAATCACAAAGAAGAAGGTGTACCCGTTCCCACGTGTAGACGACGCACCAGACCATCTACACAACGCAAAGTACGTTTCTTCGATGGACCTCAAAACGGGCTATTGGTAAACTGAGGTTAACGAGACAGGTCGAGAGAAGACGGCCCTCATTCCACTAGATGGCTTCCTCAAGTTTACGGTCATGTCATTTGGTCTTTGCTCAGCGCCTGTGACGTTCCAGCGCGGCATGGACGCCGTGCTGGCTGGATTTAAATGACAGACTTGCCTCGTGTACTTTGACGACGTTGTCGTGTTTTCCTCCAGCTTCGATGAGCATCTCCGGCGTCTTGAAGCGGTACTTCAAGCTATCAAGACCTCTGAATTAACCCTGAAGAAAGAAAAGTGCCGCTTCACGTACGAAGAGCTGTTGTTCCTAAGACACATGATAAGCAAGTTCGGAGTCCGTCCCGACCTGCGGAAAACATCCGCCATCGCTAATTTTCCGCAGCCCACTGACAAGAAGGCTGTACGCCGATTTCTCGGATTGTGCGCCTCTTAGAGGCGTTTCGTCAAACGTTTTTCACAGATCACCGAGCCGCTAACTCACCTCACGAAAAGCAATGTCAAATTCAGGTAGGAAGCGGCACAAGAGAAAGCCTTTTAGGCACTTAGACACCTGCAAACACTGCCGATATTTGCGCATTTCGACGATTACGCCAAAACAGAAATGCACACCGATGCAAGCAGCATAGGACTCAGCGCCGTCCTTGTGCAAAGGACTGGCGGCGTGAAAAACGTCATCAGTCATGCTAGCCGGTTGCTATCCAAGGCTGAGGCCAACAATTCCATAACAAAAAAGGAGTGCCTTGCCATCATCTGGGCAGCATGAAGGTTTCGCCCCTACCTCTACGGCAGGCCTTTCAAAGCAGTGAGCGACCACCACGCCTTGTGTTGGCTAGCTAACTTGAAAGACCCTTCAGATCACCTCACACGCTGGAGCCTCACACATCAATCATTCGACGTGACCATCGTTTACAAGTCTGGAAGAACTCTGACGTTGACTGCTTGTCTTGCTCTCCTGTCGAACCACCGCTACCTGATTGTCTGGATGAGGAGAGCTTCTTAGGTTCAAGTGCTGACGACTTTACCGAGCAACAGCGAGCTGACCCGGGACTGAGAAGTCTTGTGGAATACCTCGAGGGTAGCAGCACGACTGTACCAAATGTTTTCAAAAGAAGACTTGAGTCGTTTTTCTCGTGAAACGAAGTCATCTTAAAGAACAACTTCTCGCCCCTTCGAGCCGACGACCTTCTCGTGGTTCCTTCGGAAGTGAGAACAGAGATACTCGAGGCTCTACACGACAACTCGGTGGCTGGACACCTCGGTGTTTCCCGTACGCTCGCAAGAATACAAGAAAAGTACTACTGGCTACGACTTTCCGCAGACGTCACTCGCTACGCCACGACCTGCCGTGACTGTTAACGACGAAAGACACCGCTGACTCGGCCAGCCGGACTTCTCCAGCCCATCGAGCTATCCCGCCGGCCGTTCCAGCAAGTCGGCATGGACTAACTGGGGGCCGTTTCCAACGTCGAGTTTTGGGAACAAATGGATCATCGTAGCTACTGACTACCACACACGCTATGCCGAAACAATGGCCCTTCCCAAGGGCAGTGCTTCCAAGGTAGCAAGGTTCTTCGTAGAGAATATTGTACTCCGTCACGAAGCTCAACATATCCTCATTACTGATAGAGGTACAGCCTTTACGGCAGACCTAACTCCGGCGATCCTGAGGTACAGCCAGACAAGTCACCACCGCACCACCATCCACAGACCAACGGCCTCACCGAATGTTTTAATAAGATTATCGCTGATATGCTGGCTATGTACGTCGACGTCGAGCACAAGACGCAGGATGAAATACTTTCGTACGTGCCCTTCTAGCGCAATACGGCCATCCAAGAAACGACACAGATGACACCGTACAAGTTAGTCTATAGAAGGAGCCCGGCAACGACGCTACACGCTTTGCTTCCAAACGTCGCTGACGAAGATAACCTCGAATTCACCACTTACCTTCAATGCGTGAAAGAAGCTCCTCAACTCGCCCGCCTGCGCATCAAGAATCAGCAGGCGACCGACAGCTGCCGTTACAATCTTCGACAAAAAAGGAAGAAAAATAGGAGCAAAAGAACGGCAGGGAGGTTAACCAGCCTATAGGCAGCCGGTGTGCTACCCTGCGCTTGAGAGGGGGATGGGGGTTATGAAAGATAGAGAGCAGAGAGGGAAGAGAGATGAACACAGCACATTCAGCATCACAGGCGCGCACACTCAGTCATAATCTAGTCTTATCTTTCGCGGTGTGTGACATTGCTGTTACAGCCGCTTGTTGAAGTCTGTGTCGCGTAGGAATTTCAACAGAGCTTGTGTCGCCTTCTGTTGACATGTCTTCTCTCGGACACTTGATAGAATAGTGTCCACAGACATTTGGCTGTTGTTGATGCGCGCAAGAACGAACGCCAGTGACTGTCTCTGGATGTCATACAGCGGACAGTTGCACAGGATGTGGTGTAGCGTCTCTTCGCAATGTCAGGCATCGCAGAGAGCGTTGTCGGCCATTACTATGACAAAGGAATAAGATTTTGTAAATGCCACTCCTAGCAATAGCGATGAAGAAAGGGGGCTACTCTTCGGTTGAACCCAGTGGGCATGCGGAGAGCCATCAAAGAGGACAGGTGGTGTTGACGATTCGTCTCGTTGCTTGGTGGGAACCCTAGTGAAAACGTGATTTCACGCGCAAGTCGTCGAAGATTACTGGCTGCATCATTCCGCGAAAGTGGTATTGCTTCTTCTCGTGTTCTTTCAAAAGCTGGCCCAGCGGCAGTATCGGCATGTTCGTTCCCTATGACGCCACAGTGAATTGGCAGCTACTGAAACGTCACATGATGCCCTTTCTCGTGTGAAGTATGGAGAAGGCATCGAATTTAAAAAACAAGCTGTTCGTACGACCCGCGACGCAGTGCTCAGAGCACAGGTTGCACGGCAGCCCTTGCGTCGCTGAAAATCGACCATTGTTGCGGTGGTTCTCGATTGACCACACAAAGTGCAGCGCACAAAGCAGCTACTTCCGCTCCTGTAAGTGCCGGGGAGTGGTCAGTCCTAAAGCTGATGTTAACACCTCTTGCTGGGACAACTACTGCACCTGACGAACACTGGGACTTCGTGGAGTCATCGGTATATATATGTACACTGTCTGAATATTTCTCGTGCAAAAGAAGAAGAGACAGTTGTTTCAGCACGGGCGATGAAAGCTCAGATTTCCTCCGGATCCCTGGTACACTATCCCTGGTCCCTGGCACTATCCACTATCACTAGCACTATCCATTATACACTATCCCTGGATCCCTGGTTCCTGGCACTGTGGGTCGAATAAGACGCCAATGGGGTATCGATGATTTAGATGCAGGATTGAAGCCCAAGGGAAGTTTCTCGTTGTACTTCACAATCATTTTAGCGAACGATGCTTGGCGCCTCACTGAAGGCAACAGTGCATGTCGATGACAGGGAGCACGTGTAAAGTGTCTCATGTGCGTTGTTAGGACTTCTACAACAATGTGAGTTTGTATCGAATAGTCACCAGTAATTGCAATTGTTGCATCTGTTGACTTACATCTGGACAGACCAAGGCACAATCTCAGTGCTTGGGCTTGTACTGCCTGTAGAACATGAGCATTGGTCTTGCAGGTATTGCTAAGCATGGGCAAACTATATCTCAGGAAACCGAGAAACAGAGCTCTGTAGAGTTCCATCATTGCGTCTACTGATATCCTCCACGTCTTTCCAGCCGGGAACTTGAACAATTGGGAAATAGCGTTCAGGCACTTCTTCGTTTATGCCACATGCGGACTCCAATAGAGGTCCCTATCAATGATGATGCCCAGAAACCGGTGGGTTCTGGCGTAAGAAATCGTTGAGTACTAGCCCAGTGACCGTGTATGGGTATGGACGTGTGCTCAGTGAAAAACTTCTGCGACGGTACTTCGGACTGTACAGAGTAGTTCGACGTCACGTCTCACTCGACTACGATATTGTTCTTGAAGGCATTACGAACTCTCAACGGTGCCGTGCTCGACCTGAAGTCGTCCATGTGGCGCACCTCAAGCCATTTCATGCGAGAGCCGAAGGACTGCATTTTGTTGTTGTTGCTGTATTTATTGTTTATTTTCTTCATTACAATACCTTCGCCTTTTGTTAAACCATCAGCACGATGCCTTTTTAGAGGGGGCAATGCCACGTTCCGTTTCTTAAGTTTTCTCCCCCCATTACACTACGTTCAGCGCAAACCGCGCCTACAATGTTCGAGAAGATTCAAGGCTTTAGTACATCTCGAGAACAGAACGACGACACAGAGACAAGAAAGACAAGAAGGACACGAAGGTCTCCGTGTAGTCGTTCTGTTCTCACGCTATAACTATCGTCAAGTCATACCAACTTGCCCAAGCTGCCACACTATTAGTAGATAGTTTTGTGAAGATTACCCTCACTTCGGGAATGTCACAATTATTCGGGAACCTACGTTGCCGCTAGCGATAACGCTAGAATATTCGATGGCAAGGGCATAAATGCCGACACGCTTCGCCGCTTATCAGTTGATCGACGGCCAATGCTCCGTTTCGCCACTATCAGTACAACACTGCTACTAAATTCCGACTTTCCGTTCACGGAGCACAAGTTCACCCAAATAAATGGTTTGATCTTAACATACAGTCTCCTGTCTTTGTCCACGTCACGACGCTGTGACAATATTGTACGTGAGCGTCTACGCATGCACGCCTGATTGTGTGCATGCGCATTGGCTTTATCTCCAACTACGAAACAAGAAAGTGATGATGAAAACAAAGAAAATTGTTGGCGGTCTCACCTGTAATGAAGCTGACAAATATACCGATGATGACAGTAGCGAAAACAGCAAAAAAGCTGGTCCACATATAGGAAACACGAAATAGTATAAAAGATTCTTCTATCCTGAACAAAAGAGAAATAGCAAAGAGAATTGACCTTATGAACTGTCACACAATAATACAATATTGCTTGCGGTCACATCGTCTCATACGCTCCAGTCACTTACTTTTACTCAAAATCACATTTTAAAGCACGTTTTAGCAACCTAAATATATAAACGTAGGAGCTCAGCGTCCAAAAACCACCATATCTATATGAGAGACGCCTTATTGGAGGGCTTTGGAAATTTCGTCCACCTGGGGTTTTTTAACGTGCACCAAATATAAGCACACGAGCCTATAGCATTTTTGTTTTCATCTGAAATGCCGCCGCTGCAGCCGGGATTCAATCCCGCAACCTGTGGGTCAGCATCCGAGTGCCTTAGCCATTAGGCCACCGTAGCGGGCCAAAAAGACAGACGCACCGAAAGATCATGAATTACTTGTTAACGTTGCCTTGAAAGGGTGTCCCGAACCACTAATCTTTAAGTCAGTTGATCTGCTAACAAACGATGTGCAGACGCTCTCACGGCTTATACAATTTTTAATTGCGACCGTTATAAAGGTCAGTGTGCACCCTGCATGCGAGACCTAGATACGTTCTTGTAGGTTTATACGCAGACGTTCAAGAATACACAACTCTCCAACGCCATCGTTCTGGCCAGCTTTGCGTAGAGAATGTGTTGAGCCCTCTCAATCAATAGGCCTTTTTTGCGTGGGTATCCTGAGAATGTACACCCGGCGTACGCAAATCATGCGCCCAAAATTTTTAAAGGCGGAAGCACCACGACAGGTGTAGACCAGGCGACATAGGGAGTCACAAACTTGCAAATGCCCCCCCCCCCCCCTAAAAAGGTACGAATGCACGCCTCAGACATTGCATATCGTAGCATGGCGGGGAAGCCAAGGACCATCAGTTTCGATTTCGGCAATCTTTGCTGAAAAAGCTGTTCAAACCTAGACAAGGCCCATTCAGAACTGCGCTGCTATCACAATTGTAGAAATAAGAACACTCCATTTATACATACAAATAAAACAACTCGTACCAGAATGTATGCGAAGGAACCAGTACAGTATCAAAAACTCCCACAACAAAACGAGCGCTACACAGACATTAGGTACGTTCGAGGGAGTGATGCCCATTTTTACATCTCTCGTTCGTCTCAGTGTTGAGATGCGAGTATTTGTTAGGGTATTTTCATCGGATCAAATTTTTGTAAACATGCTTAAATAGGCATAAATGGGAAACACTTGACAGCGAAAATACAAGGCGTAGAGGGGGTGGAGATGAGCGTGTAACTTTGGCATCACTGTTATATTCTTTATAAAAATCAAAATAGAAACCATTTTTGCTGCAGGTGATGTCCGGATCGGTTTCTTTCATATCGGAATCCATTGCCTAGCCGATGATAAGTCTTTATCTATCGGTTTAGTTCGTGCGTGACCGTACTTAGTGTTCAGCTGCTTGCGAGAAAGTAAACGCGAGTTGATTTTTCTACGGCATTCCTATCTGTCAGGCTGGTGCTGTAAGATATACTTGTGAAAAGGTGAAATTGATTGATTTGTTGGGTTTAACGTCCCAAAACCACTACATGATTATGAGAGACGCCGTAGTGGAGGGCTCCGGAAATTTAGACCACCTGGGGTTCTTTAACGTGCACCCAAATCTGAGTACACGGGCCTACAACATTTCCGCCTCCACCGGAAATGCAGCCGCCACAGCCGGGATTTGATCCCGCGACCTGCGGGTCAGCAGCCGAGTACCTTAGCCACTAGACCACCGTGGCGGGGCGAAAAGGTGAAATCATCTCGTGTTCTTCTGGCAGTATACCTCAGAGGACATAACCATTTTATAGCGCAGTACGTTTTGCTCATAGTCTCAAATTACCGTCTCTTGACGGGGCAACATATCCTTAGGAGTAGCGGGTCAAGCCGAACGATTAACCACTAAAGTGTCAGTCTTTCCTTATATTGATCACGCGCTTGCCGCAAGTGCTCACACGCAAACATCTGTGACGTAACCTGATTTGTGGTCCCTGTGATGGACACCCTAATATGCTCTAAACACGCGCCCTGCAATAGATTAGTTGTGCCTGTAGTTGCTCGTGGTCATTTGTTTACTGTGTGCGTGCTCTTTGAAATTCTACGACGCGTAAATACGATAGGACTACCTATCTGTAAATACATGAAACTGTTCACGCCTAGTTGCTTGCACCTTCTTCTACTACAATAATTTTTCGCGAGGTCATGCCTCAGGCTATCCATTGATATATAGATTATAATCACGTGTTAGCAGATGAACTCAATTGAAAATCAACGACCCTGCTGTGTTGTTGTAGTATTTTGTCATTCTAACGCGATCGCGTTGAAGAGCTCGTTTCGCATGAATTTCGGCGTCGGCATCGGTTTCGGCATCGGCGTTGCTGGTTGTGAGTGAAAAATAGTCATTCTATGCGTGACCTAAAAATCGAGATATATGCAAAGAAAATAAAAGAAACGATAAAAATCCTGGAGCACCGAGGGGACTGAGCCAAGGTTGTTCTGGTCTGAATGGGGATCGAGCATGAGTCATTAGCGCGGCAAGCGGATGTTCTACCACACGGCCACGCCTCTGCTTGTGAGAACAGTGAAAAGAACTTCCTCTGCTTGAAATGCAGTGAAAGTAGCTTTCATGCTTCACAAACACAGTGTGTCCTGTATAGATGCTTCACAATGCAACATGAAATATTGCAGTATAATTCTGTGATACAAGCGTTTAGTGCCAACAAGCGTCAAAATATGAGGCGTTTTTTTTTCTATAAGAGCCAAATGAACTCTATATGAAATTGAGAAAAAAACGCACTTTTTTCTACTGACAACATGGTTGGGCCTGCTCAAACAACTTTTTGACAGTATGTTTTTCCTCCTTAAATACCACAAATTCATATTGTGGCTTAAATCTACATTGCCAAATATTATAGGTATTCTGGAATAAAGTTCCTATTTGGCATATATAGATTGAAACACTTCATTTGGACAGGTATTGGCTCGTAAAATAAGTGTAAGACGGTTTGCATGCACGTTATAGCTATGTTTTGAGACAGAATTGACATCATACTCGTACTTCCGCCAGTGCCGTGCTTCGACGCGTGGCCGTAATGTTGATTACTTGACTTGAAGAGCAAGTGGTCTTTTGTGGCAAAAGGCGCACCATTCTAGACTGTCATCAGGGTTTTCTCAATCCTGGCATCTATTGAAGGTCTTGAATAGTGTTCCAGTTAGCTGTATTCTTTGACATTTCAGATCACTTCTTCTTTAAGAAATACATAGACGCCCAACATCTTCATTTTGAGCCTAATTCATTTCAAATAAACCACGCTGGATTGAATGAAGGACAAGATACTATTGCGATAAGGTCAAAAAGAATCATTAAGATGCCAAAAGGAGTAGGCACTTCAGCTTCTTACTCTTTACCACCGAGTTTTGTCATTGCACATCATGCCCTTCAGTAAGCGTCAACTCGGGTTCAAAAACCTCATTGTGGAACGTAAACACGATAACAAAGCAACTAAGACACAAATTAAACGTCTTAGGTGGGACCATGTTGGTTGTTTTGATTATGTCTGTCAGTGCAGTGGTGATTTAATCAATGCGGTTCACTTTGATTGAATAAGTTGGAGTACTTAGCTCATTTTTATTAGAAACTGCCTTTTTGAGCTCATGTTAAAATAAAACATTGGCCTGTTCTGATTATAACTGTTCTAGAAATGAAGATACTTAGGCATGGTTTTATTCCAGGAAAATTTAGCCTGGACTTGGCAATTTTAGAAAAAAAAATGCCTCATATGTTATTGTGAAAATGGCTCCATGGTTGAAAGCCGGTACCCTACTACAAAAGGTACACACGCTACTGCGCCTATTCCCTTAAAGCCATGTAGTGGGGGCATAGCAAATTCGAAAGAGTTTCGTAAATTATATGTTTGAAGTACGCACGAGTAAAAGGGTGCAGCTGTCGCGTTGAAATCCTAAGGCCAAAGCTGTAGGGTTCCCTAATTTTAAAATAGTAATCTTTTTTCATTTTGTGGATTTCAACTAGGCTATAGGTTTTTGTTATTAGGTAATAAATGCAAGGAAACACTCCAACCCACAATACGAAGCTACGCTTACGCTTCAGGTGTCACCTCGCTCGAATTAAGCTTGACCACAAGAGTGCTTTGATTTCCAGGGCAAAAGTCAAGACTCGCATCCATTTTTGGAGGTTTACGTCCACTTCCAATTATTCGGCTGACATGCAGAATCTGATAGATAATCGTCGCTAGTGTCGCAACACCGGCTCCCTGCATAGAAAAAATAGAAGACGCCATGTGCACGAAATGATAATTAAGGAGCTTGCTCCGCAGTTGAAATGTGGTAAACCACTGTGAATCCTCCGTACATGCGCTCGATCACCATACAAAGACATGCCCTATCAGGGCAGCGATATTTTTAGGACATTAATTTCCTACAATTATTATTAATATTATTATTCATATTAATATTATTAGTTGCTGCATCTCTCCCCTCCCCCCTCCTACTCCACGAAAATCGGTTAATTCAAACGGAAGTCACAAGTTCCTTGTGTTTTGCAACGGTACAAACTTTGGGCGCGCCAACGTACGCCGGTCACGTCTATTGCATCTCGCGTCGGATTTCGCGCTTTGCTAGCGCAGCGTGCCCAGCGCGCCCAGCCACGGCCGGGCTAGAGGAGCGGCACGCGAGAGTGCGCGCGGGCCGCTCCTCTAACCCCGCCTTCGCCCAGCCTGCTCCCTCATGCAAGAAGAGAGCCGCGCACATAAGGTTTCATTCTGACCCTGTCTTTGCTCCAGAGGGGCGTGTGTGGTTACGGCGGGATGGATGGACAAGACTCGAGCATAAGGAGCGAGCTCCTAAAATGTATTTGATCTATTGGACAAACACATGGCCAGAAATTGGGGCAAGGGCAGAACGGCATGGGCCATCATCTCTGTGTGGCAGCTTGTTTTTATTTCGAGCACTCGTCTTGTTTGATATCGTATAACACCATGCATTACAGATTTATTTCCGGATGGATGCAAATAGTGGCTGATGTCGCTAGCTCACTAGCGTCGCACAAGTATTCCTAACCATGTACGACTACACCTACGGCATCTCTGTAGCAATGGCTTTTACGATCTAATGCTCGAAGACAATCAAAATGGTCGAATTTCGATGCTGGTAATTTTACATGGTATATTACGTCTCATATCTCTCCCAACTGTACTTCAAATGTTTCAGTTGTGGCCAAGCCATTTCAGTGCTTTGTCAATAGAGTGTAGAAAATTTTTACCTGTTTTGTGTGATGTTCTTAACCACGACAATATTTACGAAGTTTCCGTTTAAATTATTTGCACGACTAGATAACAAAAATAAAATTTATTTAACGTTAGACTCTCTTTATAACTAAATATTAATTGCTATAGCATGGCTATTTAGTCATTTAGAAGGGTTTTAAAAACGCTTCAAAAGTTTCTACGCTACACGCATTCAGAAAATACTAGCCATTTCATGTAACGTTTAAAAAGAAACACTTAAAAGTGATTTGTTCAAATATCCCACTTAGCGTGCTACATGTACTTCACAAGATATGCATATAGATACCCGCCTTGGAGTGAACAAATGGGAACAGCATGGCTAGCAGGCAAAGTCCCACAAATGCTGATGCGATGCCGTTGTACACCATAATAAACACCTGCAATGTGTGAGTAAAGTGGACAAAAAATTTCATTTGTTAGCGGGTTCACACGCTTACACATAATTTTGATTCTAACAAAGCAACGGCAGCAAAAAAATACTGAATTTATAGGCTACATCAAGGAGATAAAGACATACACTGACTTTTCAAGACCCGCATCTATAGGGAAGGTGACAGGAGGATGATCAAAACAAGAGAGAAGGCAGGGAGGTTAACCAGGCACATGTCTGGCTTGCTACCCTACGCTGGGGAATGGGACTGGGGGCATAAAGATGATAGAGAGAAAAGAGAAGAGAAAGAGAGAAAGAAAAGGATCTTCAGTCAATCGGCTGACGGGTATGCAGCGATGGCACTACACAAAAGTTTAAAGTGTTCACATAGGCATGTACTCCTCAAAAAGCACAAGACGGCTTGGACTGGTTTTTAAGCCGACGAAAGACGAGTACGGTGTTCCAGTGGCATCTGCATAGAGAGTGGCCAATCGTCCAATTGTCGCAATGGGTCCGAAAGCTTCTGTTTTTCAAAGGCAAATCGAGGGCAACGGCATATCAGATGGTCGATGTCTTCTTCGGTGCAGCAGACGTCGCATTCCGCATTGTCGGTCAAACCGATGAATGTTGTATATGCTTTTGTGAAGGCACCCCCCCCCCAACCAAAGGCGACAAAGAAGCGAAACTCCACGTCGATGAAGTCCGTATGGAGGTCGAAGTTACAGTCGAGGGTTTATTTGGTAGAGTATCGCACGTCTTATGCTTGGGGTGTTCCACTCCAGCAGACATAGACTACGTGCCAGGTGACGAAGTTTTTTTTTTGCAGCGTCTGTCCTTGACAAATGAATCAGAAGGGTGTGCTCTTCTTGGTGCGATATGCGAGCAGCGTTGTCTGCGGAATCATTGCCACTTATCCCACAACGGCCAGGTAGCCACTGAAAATTGGCCTCATGGCCTGTTTCTGTGACGTGGTGGAGAAGCTTGACAACCTCGTAAGTTAACTGTTCATGAAAATCTCGTCGAAGGACCGACTGCATGCTCCGTAGCGCCGGTTTTGAGTCGGAAAAACAGCCCATTTACTCATTCTTTGGGATTTGATGTACTTTAGTGCGCCACGCAAAGCCGCAAGTTCTGCCGCCGTAGACGTAGTGACGTGTGACAGCTTGATTCGCAGATTGATTCCTCTAGCTCAATCACAACCGCACTGCCAGAACCAGACGCTGTGGTTGAACCATAGGAGTATATGTGCACGTGGTTATTGTACATTTCGTGCAGAAGGTACAAGCTCAAATATTTTAGGACTGACGAAGGCACATTTGGTTTTTTCTGTATTCCTGGAATTGAAAGACGTACTTGCGGAAGTGTCAGGCACCACGGAGGATACACCAGTTTCTCAGCAGGCGTAAAAACCTGACGTAAACGACGCACGATGAGCACAGACAATCGCACTAAATTTCGTGCGGGGCCTCTCAGTAGCGAGGGTTGCCATGTGGTGGGAAGGATTCCTAGCATGTTGCCTGAGGTACGTACGCATCTTTTCAATGATGATGTGCGTTATGATCAAGTAGTCCTGTGCACTGGCAATCGTTTCAGCTGTCGATGCGCAGCGGGGTAAACCAAGGCATATCCTAAGCGCCTGGGCTTGAATATTTTGGATTGCGTGCAGCTTCGTTTTGCACGTGTTAGATATAACAGGTAGGCTGTACCGCAGGAATCCAATAAATAATACCTTGTACAGCTGTAACATAGACTCGACAGACACTCCCCAAATTTTCCCGGCCAGAAACCTGAACAAGAGACAAACGGCGGTCAGCCACTTTTTCACGTAGTTTACGTGTGGGGTCCAAGACAGGTTTCGGTCGATTATGACTCCCAAGAACTTGTGACTCCGGCTGCATGACGCACACTGCCCGTTAATTGATATGCCGTAAGCGGACATTGGCTTTCTGGTGAAAGCCATGACTGCACACTTTCCACTTGCGATTGTGAGCGCTTGTATGCGTAGGTGGTGCGATGTCACTGATGCCTTCTGAAATCGAGCGTGAAGTTGAAGTCGAGTCACACCTGATGTCCACACACAGATGTCATCAGCATAAATGGAAAGTCGTACATTGCTTCGTTGCTTGCCAACTAGTCCAAGGAGTGTTAGGCTGAAGAACATCGGGCTCAGCACTTCATCTTGCGGGACTCCTCAGCTACAGTAATACTCGGGTGTCGGGCCATTCTCTGTCTGCACGTGAAATGATCTTTTCTGTGGGGAGCTCTGAACCCACATTTATAACTTGCCACCGAGTCCCACTCTTCTAATGCGCTGAGAATGGCTTCGTGGGTGACATTGTCGTATGTCCCTTTAACGTCAGGAAAACGGGCAGCATATAACCGTTTGCAGGCATTCTGGTGCTCTACATATGTCACCAACTCGACTACATTGTTTATTTATGAGCGGTCTTGTCAGAACCCGGACATGGCATCTGGATAGATTTCGTAGAACTCTACCATTCCAGACGCGTTAAAATCATTCTTTCCATAGCTTTTCCCCCACAGCTTGTGGGGGCACTCGGACGGTAAAAGGAAACGTCTAAAGGTGACTTTCCGGCTTTGAGAAGTGCAATCAGGTGACTTGACTTTCATTCCTGTGGAACCATGTCAGTTTGCCAGGAGTCGTTGTATAGCAGCAAGAGTGCCTTCCAAGCTTGATCTCCTAGGTGACATAGAGTGCGGTAAGTGATGCCGTCAGGTCCTGGCACTGAAGAACGTCAACACAAAGCAAGCGCAGCCTTTAGTTCTTCCATTCAAAACGAACACTTCATTCGGGAATCACGTGAGGAAACAGAAAAGTCAGGCGTCTTCGCCCCAGTTAAATTTACCCCGCAGGCGATCCTTCGACAGAAAGAATCTGCGACATCAATCTCTTCGCAGCGTAAATGAAGTGCCAGAGATTTAAATGGGTAGCGCTGAGAAATGGTTGTACGAAGACCCCGGAGGGTTCTTCAAATTAGTGACCGAGGCTTTCTGGGATCCAAAGACTCGCAAAAAGATACCCATTGTCCCTTACCTAATTTGTCCTTGTGAAGCTGTATATTCTTTTGTATGCGTCTGGCTACTCCCAGATCATCAAACGACTTCGTGTGTCTATAACGTCGTTCTTCACGACGATGAATCCCTCAGAGTTTCTCGGGATGAATGTCAATATCACTGCTGGACGAGCGTACCGGAAGCAAACGCGTAGTGGACTGTAGGGCACTCTTTATTGCGTTCTCTATGTTGAAGGGTGAGCCGCCAACATGGTCTTCCATGAATAACTTGTCTTTCTGCCAATCGGTGCACTGGATGGCTCTGGAGGACTTGAGACTTGGAAATCCGTCAATCTTCAGGTATGTTGAGGTTTGGTCACTACCCCCTTGTTTCCACATCCGAAAGCCAGTGCGCTCTGCTGGCGAACGAGCGTGAGACGAAAGTGAGGTCCAGGCAACTACTATAGGCCGATCCACGCAGTCAGGTAGGGCCACCATCATTCATGAGGATAAGTTCACATTCAGAAGCGAAATACACTGTCTACCTCTGTTGTTGACCCTGGAGCTTCCCCATACGTAGTGGTAGGCAATGAAGTCCCCAGTTATCGCCCACGGCTGGAGAGTTGATTAAAAAATTCCGCGCAAACGCTCGCGGTCTAGACGACTTGATGGAGGTAGGTAGGCCCCGATGATTGTGAATGGGGTTTTCTTGTTTTTTACTGTTAGGCAAACGTACTGGCTTTCTTCGTCAGGGGGTACAGGGTGATGAACATAAGTTAAGTCGCGCCGAATGAAAACAACAACCTTGCTGCACTCTCCGTGGGTAGAAGACATAAAGCACTCATATCCCGACAGTCTCATTTGAGCTTACAGGTTCGGTTCACAAATCACAATTATGGAGAACTGGTTCGTGAATACATATTGCCGGAATTGGGTCATACGCGCCTTGAGCTATCTGGCGTTCCACTGAAGGACAAATGCATTCTTGACCTCCTCTCGAAAGGATAACTTGTCGCGGGCCATAGTTTTACCTTAGAGCTGCAAGCACCGGACTCAAAGTGTCGAGCACCTGGAGTGCGCTGTGTGCTGACGGGGCGTTAATGGTGCTTAGGAGCATGCGTATTACGCTCATAATGATCTGCAACATGTTAATGACCTGGCGATCGTCAGTTGTCTTTGCATCAGTGGTTGGTGACGGCACCGAGGTTGGCGAGACTCGATGCACCTCTGAATCAGGCTGTGTTCATGGAAGGGATGGCCGCTCTTCACGAGGTGGGAGTGTTGACCCTGCTTTTGTTTTCGGTGTATCCGTCTTCGCAGAGCTTGATGATGGGGGGCCAAAAGTTTTTGTTTGAGATGACGTGTCTCTATCAGCAGATGTCACGTTTCGGGATAATCTTCTGTGGTGACGCCGACGTCGCCTGACAATAGCAGAGGCTTCTCTGTGCTTTGAATTGTCACGCACTTTGCGTTTCAGCACAGCGCGTTCATTTCGCACTCACAGGCAATCTTTAGACGGCGCTTTATGAGCGCCATGGCAGTTGGAGCATTTGAACGCAGTTGCGTGCCAGGTGTCTTCTGAATGATGTTTGGCACACCGCGGGCACACAACATTGCTGGTACATGCTCCTTTCACATGTCCCATCTCGAAACTTCTGGAGCATTGTAGGGGCTTCGGTATGTATGGACGGACCTGGTGGCGAACGTGGCCAACTTTGACGTGAAGGGGAAGACTGTCTCCCTCAAAAACAACCTTCAGGCAACGTGACTGACCGAGCCTTGCGATGTGCTTGATGAGGATGTCGTGTGTAGTTGGCTTTATCAAGATTGGAAAGTCGTCAGCGGGAATGGAAATGTCCACGTCATAAATGACACCAACACTGCCCTTACAGTCAGTGGGGATCACTGATTTAACTGTGACTCTGTCGATTTCCGAGATGTTCTGTAGGCTTTGCAGCACACTACGGAGTAGAATATCAACTGCCTGAACATTCTTGCGTCAGTTGATCGTCACGTCTTTAATCTCATTTGGAGCGAGTCCTTCGAGCTATGCAGAGAGTACTTGCCTGTTAAGCCGCCGTAGGTTGGCTGAAGGGTCCACAGCCACGAAGAGTATAGTGTGCGGCCAACGCAGCGCGGTAGCCTGCACGGTAAATAAACTCGCCGTCGACTTTGTTCGTAGCAGTCTCCTTTTAGCGTTGCGGCTCATGACGGCTGTGTAGTCGTCATCCGATGACTCAAAGCTGTCGGAGCAGAGCTCCGTTGCCTCGCTGTCTGTGCTGCTTGAGGTGGTCTCACGTTTTCTAGCCGCTGCCAAACGTAGCGATTGTCCACTTCGAAAATTCTGAGAGGCTTCTTTAGTCATTCTCGCAAGGAGGGAGCCGCAGATCCCAGTATTTGCGGAAACAAATAGAAATTTTGAAACAAGGGAACAAGCGTTCCATGGAAAAGACATTTCGTCGTCGTGGTGACAAAGGTCGAATAGGTGGGCACTCACAAGACCTGTTCTAAACTTAGCTTCAGCTGTCTGGGTTAACCAGCTTGTATAATTTTCGCAAGCACATGCCGCACTAGTGAACTGTTACTTCAGTAGTGGCACAAAGGTGAAATAGAGACTGGTCCAAGGCTTATTGCAAGAGAAATTTATCAAAACACGCTGCCTTTGTGAGGCTAACTTGCAAAGTAGCCGTACTTAACAATGATTTACGGTGGCAGTAAATGTTAGGCACGCATAACTGTCAGTGTTTTCTCACTATTCAGAAAGGCAGCAACGTTTCGCGCTAATTTGCCGCACCCATAAACTACTTATTAGCTGTACTGTTCTTAGGCGGCACCAACCTCCCCTTAGGCGTGTTTCGGTAAACAGAGTTGGACGAGAAGCACACCTGTCAGGAACTGCCTTGAACTCTGTAGTAGGTTTTTGTGCTGACACCGCAAAAAGTAAATAGACACCATAAAACCTGCACCCTATTGCTTTCATTCTTACTAAATACCATATAATAACGTAGGAGTGTCCAAAAAATTATAGTCTAATTCGCTGCGCCAACCACAACATATCGCTCGAGAGCCCCCCATCTTGCTAAATATCCGGCTAAGATGCAGAAAGCTCTAAGTGTGGAGGAGAGGGGCTCCTAATGTATCACGGTTCTGTGGCCATAGTGCATTTGAATTCTGTTAGCAACACACTGTGATGCGAAAGCTGCACGTGAACACATATGTGTTTACGCATTACCTGGTGTCACGATTACAGTAACATCAAAACATAGCCATTCTAGAGGACTATACGTCCTTAATTAAACAATAATATTCATAAATCTCTAGAAAATGTTCGCGCTTACCATGGTTACAGAGCCCATATGCGCACAAAGTGTGCTGTAAATTGTCATAGAAATGCCAAGAATGAAAGCTGAAACAAAATTTTAAAACTTATTAAAATATTTGAGACAATCCCTGTTGAATAATGCAAAATTGTTAGTGACTTCTGTTCTGCTTCAACGCACTTGTACAACAGGCATATATATATATATATATATATATATATATTATATATATATATATATATATGTATATAAATATATATATATATATATGTATATATATATATATATATATATATATATATATATATATAGAGAGAGAGAGAGAGAGAGAGAGAGAGAGAGAGAGAGAGAAAGAGAAAGAGAGGCAGGCATGGTGGTTTGGTGCCGTAGCGTTGCATTATATATATATATATACATATATATATACATATATATATATATATATATATATATATATATATATATACATATATATATATATATATATATATATATATATATATATATATATATATATATATATATATATATATATATATATATATATATATATATATATATATATATATATATATATATATATATATATATATATATACACATATATATATATATATAGACGCTATGATGAATGGGAGACGTGGCCTTGCTCATACGCCATGTTTATTCTATTCTCACTTCTTCCTTCTCAGCTTCTACTACCAACCGTCACTACCTTCTTACATCACCTGATTCCCCCTCTCCCCGGAAGAAGTCGCGTCAGACACTTAACAAAACAACAAAAAAGCAGAGTGTTAAAGCAAAAAATTGCAAAATGCAGCGTAGTTTCATTTCAGAAGGGAGTTCCTTAACTCGCACAAAAATTCCACAGCAGAGGGAAGCAGTCCGGCCATATCTAAAAGAACCCGGGTGAACGAGGCTGGCTGTTGCTTCCTGGATGGCGTAACCACACCCTGGAGATCTCCACGGGTGATGACATCGGTGGAGGTCTTGTGAGGAACGGACCAAGTTGGGAGTCCCTGTAGCATTTCAGGTTCGGATATCGAAGGCGTCGAATTGTGTGTCGTGGCAGGAACAGACGGTGTGCTTCCAGTTTGCGAGTGCGATGGTCGCAGCTGACGGAATGGTGTCTTGGTCTCTGCGTTTTACAGATGATGCCTTTTCGTCTCTTTCGTCGTTTTCTGTGGTTTCGGAGCTATAATCCTAGGCGCAGTCTTGATCTCTTGTGCAAAACGCGTTTGTGGCGCCGATACCTTATGCGTATATTATGCCTCACGTCTTGAGTTTGCTTTAATAGGCTTGCTTTGCGTCGTCGTCCTTGTCGCTGTATCTGTTGGAGTGTCTTGAATCCCTGGACTTGTTTATTCTGGCGTTGCTGCAGTTGTACTGGAACGTGCTGAGGTGGGAGTGCTTCTTGAACGTCATGCTGATTTTCTTTACAAATTGATGTAGTGTCCAGTCGGCAGCTGGTAGTCTGTGGGCTGTTGTAACGCTTTCCAGGCAGTGAAGTTGGTAGGACATATCTGACTGGAGGAACTTCAGAGGCGCCTGCGACAGCATTCATTACGTAGGCTTCTGGCACCTGGCAACCTGTAAGAGTTGCTTCCGAGCCTCCTGTGTTTGGACTTTCAGATGGCTGTGCTCTCAAAGGCAACACCGCAATAGGCGTGGTTGGGTCAGATTCTAGATGGGAATAACTGTCTTTCTGTGCATCGAATGATGCGAGCTCTTCTGACGCATGAAACTGAACTGTAAGTCCCGGGCTTGTCTGAGTATGCTCGGAGCTTCTCTGATCTATTCCGACCATAGTGAACGTGTGAGACGTGAGGTGTGCGTTATGAGCGACCGAAGTTCCACGTGATGGAAAAGCAGGAGGTTGGTCAATACGTGAAGGCTGCTTTTGACTGTGATGGTCGAGTGTGGTTGTCTGTGGATGGTGGGTTATAAACGAGTCTGTTGTAGTCGTCGTTGTATTCTTTGAACCAAACGATCATTTCTTTTTTTATCTTTTCCCATGACTCGTCATTTTGAAATATGTAGGTGAGGTAAAATGTGAAGGGCTCACCAGAGACGTAGTCGGTAAAGTAGACGATCATTTCCCGCTCCGACCCTGATGCAGCGGTAGCGTGGAGCTCGAACAGGTTGAACCAGTCCTGCACGGGTCCGTCGTCCGCTGCTCCGGCGTACTTGGGGTTGTCAGGGTCGGCCAATGGTTCTGTCATGGTGCTGGTCGTTGTCCTTCTAGGCGATGGTTCGGTAGTCGATGTACGGTCAGGGTGTCTTGTGGAGAACTGCTTCGATGATGAGTGACTGATGAAGGGGCAGGCAGGTCTCCATCCTGTCGACTCGTGTGACGCTATGATGAATGGGAGACGTGGCCTGGCTCATACGCCGTGTTTATTTTATTTTATTCTCACTTCTTCCTTCTCAGCTTCTACCAACCATCGCTACCTTCTTACGTCACACACACACACGTAGATATATATATATATATATATATATATATATATATATATATATATATATATATATATATATATATATATATATATATATATATATATATATATATATATATATATATATATATATATATATGACTAATAGAGGGGCTAAATGAATCTCAGTTCATACATGACCATCTACAGCTGTGTTGACATTTTGCATACATTGATCGACAGTTGTTTAAAAAAGGAGTGCTGGTACTAATCGCAGCTAGAGTGTTCGTTAAATTGCCTTTCACCTCATGCTTTCAACTTATTTTTGTACTTTTCTCACTCAAGTACTTCCCAGAGCACATGCGCTGTGTTGTCATGTTTACACACTCGTGATTTCAGTTCTGCCTACTATCCCGAGAATTCATGTTTTTAACCATTTTCGAGAACGGCACTGACGCGCCTTGTGGTTTTTTTTTTTCATAACTCGTTTTCTTGTATGCTATAAAAAATTTGTCTACATTTCGAAGTTTGCTTTGAAGTCAACGAGGGATTACCACGCTGATATCGTACCGAAATATGGTATTTTTACTTCATGCTAGATCTATATAAAACATTGCTTTCTTGGATGAAATTAGCATAACTTTGAAGCTGCGGTGTACGTTACAACTGCTTGAGCAGTATGCCTTCGTACATACCTCATCCTAAACTGCATTGATTAGGGGCTCTTTCGCTCATCTAGAATAGTCGCAGCGAGCAGGTGCCTCAGCCCACCCTCTCACCTGTTCCACGTGTAATCCACAGCACATGGCGTTCAGCATTCTTGTAGTGATGGGAAATTACATCCACGAACAGGATAGCAGCTTGAGAATTGATTGTAGATGATACTGTACTGACAGAGGGTGAAACCAATGACAAGCAACGAAAATGGTAAAAAGCTCATATAATAAACTGCAAGGTTTGTCATAAGGGGAAGGAATTAATGTGATTGCAACGATTCGAAATGTTACGAAGAAGGGTTATTTCACTAGCAAAACACGGTCACTGCAGCAACAGGAGCACAACATGTGCAAAGTTATTAGCTATCTTTTGATGCCCTTCTGAGAATAAGTCCGCTACCACGCCCTATATGCGGAAGACTTTTACACGAAGGTGCCCAGCCTTTTCTCCGACTCGTATTTCTTATCGCCCCGATGAATGTCCGGTGGAGGAACACCTCTTCACCAAGCCTTGGGGCGCTTCGAGTCATCCCACAGGTCTATAAACAAGCGTCTGCGATGCTGAAGCAGCACCGAGGAGCGTGCACTACCAACTGCAAAGGATGTCTACAGGGTGTCCCACGTAACTTTAGCCAGACTTCAAAAATATGCCGGAACACGTAATTACGACACGACCAAACGCACGTTGCTCACCGCTGCCTAGAGTTAGACCATTTCACGTGTTCTCAAATATTGTTTAATTAGATATGTTTATTTAACTAACTTTCGAAGTAACGAAGATGAATAACAAATTTCAATAAGAAAGTTGTGGATCTGTTCGCAAAATGTCCAAATAGATAGTGTTGAACTTTATATCTGTTAAGTGTTGATGTTTTTTTGTTAATTACAAATGCCCGCGAAATACAAAAAATACCACGTGACAAATCTACACGCGCGTCAGTGCGCACGATGATTCTAGTGCTCCCTAACGTTTCGCATACGAACAACACGCTTCCGTCGTGCCGGTTTATGACAGCAATAAGCAGTCACAGCGGTTAAAGTTATTGTGGCTGATGGCAAAACGTGTTCATCGTAAAGCCACCACCATCGTTGCGGTCCTGCTGAGACAGCACACTGGGGCAAATCTTATGGTCGTTCATACGGAACGTTATGGAGCACTAGAGTCATTGTGCACACTGGCGCACGAGCGGGTTTGTCACGTGGTATTTTTTGTATTTCGTGGGCATTTGTGATTAGCAGAAAACAATAATACCTAACAGGTATAAAGTTCCAAACGGTCTAATCGGACGTTTTGCGAACCGATTAACAGCTTTCTTATTGAAATTCTTATCCATCTTTATTACTTCAAAAATTAGGTAATTAAACTTATCTAAATAAAGAATATTTGAGAATGCAAAATTATTCTGACTAAATCCAGGCAGTTGTGAGCAGCTTGCGTTTGATTGCGTCGTAATTACGTGTTCTGGTGTGTTTTTAAACGCTGGCTGAAGTTACGTGGGACACCCTGTGTAACTGCAGTGAAAATGGCGCAAAAACGGGAGACAGTGTTTGCATAAAACAGCACAAGCGCATGTCTTGTTTGGCCCATAAGTTTTGTCCAATTTCCCAGCTGTGTTGATTGCAGCGACATGTACGAACTGCCGTTTCAATATACCCTTGTGCGATGTCAATATATTGCGCTTGGCTGGCATGCAACCGTATCCATGCGTGTGGCCCTGCGCTCTGACACCTCGCACCGCTAAAGAAGGGTCGCGATTTAAGAAGAACTTCTTTCAGAGCCATATTTGTTGGTGAGATTTAATTGTAATTTACACATATCGACCCATCTAAATATCTCGACGACGACAGGAAAAACGCTATGAACATGTCTGCGTGATTGCTGTCGCAATATTATTGGAAACTTGATTGTTTTATGTGCTCTGCGCAAGCAAGACAACATTGAAATTGAAGTTATATACTCCTGTGTACAACTGGTAGTAACAAATTGGGATCAGCTGCCAGGCGGGTATGATGTCCCGCTGTTATAAAAGCTGACATTGCTTCGGTTCTTGAATGAGACAGCTTGCGGACATTTTCTCTAGAGATTCTTTGTACCAATTATATTTAATGTTTTGCTTCTGTTTCAAAGTGCGCTTCCTAATTCTCAAATGTCATGACGCTCGCGTTAACAGCCATCTGCTGAGTAGTGGTCGGTATCAGTTAATTCGTGGCACTAAAAAATATCAGCTTGAACGCAGCGAGACAGTTCTACATTGCATTTGTCGTTTATTAGCAACAGTTCATCAGAGTTATGAACAAAAAAGATTGTGAAGCACAACATTATAGCTCATATAAAGTCATCGACAAAGTAGAATCACGTAAATCACTTTTCACTTCAAATGGAACTTGGATATATCTATAGAAAGCCACGACAAAAGTAGTACGTGATACCTTGTTGCCGCACTCACGATGCCGGCAAGGAATAGTCCAAGAAACCCAGGTACGTGAACCAAATACGTGTTAACGTAGTAAGGAAGAATCTGAAATAGCATGAATGCTGTTTACGCCGAGATCTTCTAGGGAAAATGCCGCAAATAGATATCGCAACTCGCTACGTGAGACTGTTACATGGAGCTAATCACGATTGCCACGACAGTGTTTCATTAATGCACAGCTCACCAAAAACACTTTGCGAAGAAAGCGAAAGATATAAAAGGCGCGTTTGTACAGTCTCCAGAAAATGTCACTGTGGCGCAGTGAATAGCGTGCCTGACTGATATACTGCCGCTGACCGAGTGGTCCTGGGCTCGTATCCCGGTCACAGGACTTCTTTTCGAGTTGAAGCTCCTCTAGTCTAACCTTGTCCTGCGTCAGGCTTAACCGGCAGTATCAGGCAAACAGACAAACACACGGACGCACAGATAGACGATGGATGCAGAGACAGAAAGACAGACGGATAGGCGGACAGACAGACAGACAGACAGACAGACAGACAGACAGACAGACAGACAGACGAACTGACACACAGAAAGATAGACAAATGGATGTACAGATAGAAAGACAGATGCATGGGCGGGTGGGCAGACAGACGAACATACCCGCAGACAGACGAACGGAAGGACGCTTCACCCCACTCGTCATCATCAACTCTGTGGATATGCTGTCATTATTTTCTTTGCTATATCATCGTGTGTGTTTCCGTGACGGAACTGCTGTACTGATGACTTGGTGAACCCCGACAAGACATTTTTGTGTTCAAACATTTGATAAAAAACGTTTCACGGCGTTTTCTACGTTATCTTTCATGCAAAACTAGACACGGTGACCGGCAGTTTTTTCGAGGCAATAAAGAAATTCGTACTCTACTGTTTTACAAAAAAAAATATGCTGCAATAGAAGTGTAAGAGCCACACTGATTAGCTCATACGAATCGTAAAGCAACGATTTTAGCTATCTAGCGCTATAGATTATGTTAGATCGTATGCACCGATTGTGTTGATGGTAAGCGAATGTGCAGGTTGCGGATGTAAGATCCACAGTTCAACAATACTCCAAACTGGGTTGTAATACGCAAAGGTAAATAAATAAAGAAAAAAGTAAATATCAAGTATTTGCGCATTTGCGACTTCTCACTTGGTCCACGCTGGCAATTTTTCCCTGCAGTCCAGGATCACAGCCACGAAACCAAATGGTCATTGCCACCCCCAGGGCAAATCCTGTCATGTACAGCAGAAGCAGGAGCAATGCACTTATGACGGCAGTTCTGTGGAAGGAAATCAGTCAATAAGCACAAGACAGTGCGTATAATAAAAAACTCTGTATAGGTTATTCCTACGTCGTAACACTGCGTCCACTTTTGAAAAGAAAGCCATGCAGAGTGGAAATGGGCAAGAGAGAGCACGCATCTTGCCCTTTACTAAACCCCGCCATTATTGGTGGGACACTTTCTGTACACTTTTCAACGAAACGAAACACTTTCTATATAGGGCGCCAAATTTTTGTAGCACAATCTATCCACCTTCTCCGATGAATCTGATGCTAGCTGGTCCTCGCCAGCGGGTTTGCCTTCTTTCATTCACTTCAAGATTTCCTTACTTCCTAGCTCTGTTGTAAGTGGTGGAATGTTTTGTTTTTCTAGGCTTTCAGTACTTCTGGAATTATCGTTCTCACTTACTTGGCAAGTGTCAAAATCTCTATAGAACTCCTTGGCTACTTTTTTTTCTTATCAATATTGGTTATGTTCTTGTCTGTTATCGCGTACACCTGGTTTTTGGCTGCTCCCTATATTCTTTTCACCGGATTAAGGCTTCCTCCGTGTTTAGGGCATGTTCAATTATCTCCAAAATACACTATCGTACGTCAGCTACCTTATGAATATTCATTAACTTCGTAAGCTCTAACAGTTCTATTGTGCCTGTTTGAAATCACGCTTTCATGCTTTGACGGTTTTAATGAGGTTATAGGTTGTCAGCTAGGAGAGCTTACGAATGTTCTGTCTAACAGCAGTACTCTCTATCGCACACTCAGTAATCATACGCGGCACTCTCTATTGCAAACTCAGTAATCCTACTTTACAAAGTATTCTTAAATACGACAATGATACAGTCAGATTTCTTGGTTAGAACTAAGTATTTCTTTTGGAACAAGATCCTAAATCTCTGAACTTTCCGTCTCATAGCTCTTTCATTAATTGGCTTTTTCAGCCCTGCCACGGTGGTTTAGTGACTAAGGTACTCGGCTGCTGACCCGCAGGTCGCGGGTTCGATTCGCGGCTGCGGCGGCTGCATTTCGATGGAGGCGGAAATGTTGTAGGCCCGTGTGCTCATATTTGGGCGCACGTTAAAGAACCCCAGGTGCTCGAAATTTCCGGAGCCCTCCACTACGGCGTCTCTCATAATCATATCCTGGTTTTGGGACGTTAAACCCCACAAATCAATTGGCTTTTTCATATTATTTTCTATCGTTCTTTTTCTAAACTTAAGCTAATTCACGGCCATACCGTCCTAAGGTCATTACATCGTATTTTGCCAAGCACTTTTACATTCCGCACAACGCGTCGGTGTGTGCAAAACTACACCTAAATAAACGTATCCTGTCACAGAAGTTGTGGTGAAGGCTTCCCGGTGAAATAACCGCGCCGTCGACGAGCGGTGACGACTGCAAAGGGGTATTTTCTTTAATTTTGCATTACTGCATAAATCGCTGCTCTGCGTCTTGATTACATCTACATTTTCAAAATGTAGGGGTCCAAGTAAAATTAAGGTTTACACGTAGTTGTATAGTGCACCTTGTTAGCTGCACGTACAGAAAGTCCTAAAAGAGAAATCTCCGTTTGAAGAAATAAAATAGCTTTTCTGTTCTAGTCTTTCATTGCTTCACTTTCAGTGTGTATCACAACACCTGCGTAAATAAATATTCGCACTAAGTTTGCAGATGAACTTACAGTCTATTATGTCTACTACGCGCACTTTACTGCCGGTCGTTAGTAAAAACTATTCCTCGCAAGATGTTTCACCTCTGCTCTAGTCACTTGGACGGTTAGAAAAACTCTCGCCCTTGAACCAAAGAGTTCTTTAGATAGCTTTGGAGTCAGCAACACATGGAAGGGCTGACGTCCGCAACAAATTAGAAAATGAGCAAAGTGGCTGACTGGGCTAATATGTCAGTTTTACTGACTATAAACAGGGCGTGAATACACGGGAACACATACGATAAGGCCTTGTAGCGTGATTAAATTTTTCGTCTGCGCGTTTTTTAGCACTGTTTACTGCCAGTGGAAAATCACACTTGCAGATTTTTCCCCGGACCCCCGCTTCGCTCGCTCGATGATTGGACGATCGAGTGGACTACATAACCACGATTGCCGCTCCTAATAAAAAATCTTTATTTCGATAGCTATTGTATGGACAATCCCGGCTGGTTTTTGCCGTCGTCGTCGTCGTCGCCGCTGGAGCCGTCGCCATTCACGTATATGTATATAGGTGTATATAAATACGGGAAATGATGCGCTAGCCCCCTCTTTTTGCGGAGAGAACATCGCCTTTCCAGCCGGGGTTGTCTGCACGCTCGCTAATCTCGTGAGCAAAGATGGGGTTGGGGAGGGGGTGCTTGTGATTGCCACGCTATTGCGGCAACGATCAGCGTGCGGCTTGTGCCCCCCCCCCACAGGTGGGAGCTTCTATGGGCTGCGTTTTCAACACGAAAAAATAACGGTATCAAAAGTGAACCTGCAGGGGTCGTGTTCTTTTAGACCACAGTTTTCTAGAGCTACGTGAGATTGGATCTAAATGAGTTGACTGACAGCCTCACTGCACATAACATTGCAATTTGCCCACCATGAGTGCGAGACCACGAGGCTGAGGCGAGGCGAAAGCGATGATAAGACCCTTCAGTTTGGCAGCACGAGGCGGACGAACGTCGTGCCAGCATCTTATCTACAATTATTATTACTCCTAAAAATGCCAGCCTTGCTTCGTAAAACATTCGAATATGTTGCTATCGCGTTCATTGTTTCGCCTATATGGCGAAACTGAATTTTTTTGCATGTAAGAAAATGTGACCTTACCTTCTTGCGCTTTTGATCGTGCGACATGCCAGCAGCCTCTGAGTCACGACTTGGTCCATGCAGCTCCGATACGCTGCCAGGCCTAATGTGCCGAAAAGGCAGGCCCATATGGTTTCGTCACTGGTCAAGTCGATGCTATAGCTGTGGAATAAGAGTAAATCATTCGGCCTATTTCTTCGAAGCTACAAAAAAAAAAGAATTGAGCCCTCAACTGTTGCGTTCGACAGCGCACATATTGATCGACCATAAAAGGACTTTTACTGGATGGATGCCCTGTGTTTTATGAAGCTGGTATTGTTTTGAACATGCTATTCGTTAAAATAATTAGGAAGTGGGAAATGTGAAAAGTTGTAAAGACATAGTAGACGAAACTCCACCATCATCAATTTATACTTCAAATAATTCTATCGAGAGTATTGCAACTGTGTCGAAAAATTTAATCCTGTATATTAGTCAATATTTTTTTCTTTGCACTGCGCAGAAAAATACCAACGCACATCCTGTGGCGCAAAGGAGTAAAATCGGCAGGTCCCACGTACCTTGACAATCAATGTTATGCGAAGCATGTGAATGGGAGGTAACCGCGTTATAAATTTTGCTAATGAGCGACACGGTACGAAATAGCGCTATATATATGTATAGATGTACGCACAAACATTTGTTGAACAGTCGTACTTCTTTTATACAACCAGTAGGTTACGCTTGTGCCACCATACTAACAGCAACATGAGTATTATCAACACAGAACCGGTAAGCTGATATGTAACGCTTGTGCTGGAGAGAATAGTAGTCCTAGGCACTGCTATATAAAAGAACCTCAGTCGATGGCAATTCACTGCAAGTGACGGTCTCCCGATGAGACAGCTATATCATAGAAGTACATATGTAAGTTTATAAAACTGGATAGCCAGCATCGCAACCACTATTGACGTTTCACCAACATTGTACCTGAATGGTTCATTTTTCCTAAGCAGTACCGAGACGTAGCGTGTCTCTACATGAGATAGAATACTTGATCACACGCAGAATGCTTTGGTTGTATTTTTTCTGCTACCCTGATGCTCGTCAGGACAACGCTGCCGATGTGACTTTTTCTTCATGCTCTCGCAGTTAAATTACCTACTTCTGTTGTCACCGTTCCTGAATACATATTAACTGTCAATCTGTGGCGTATACCCGTATACCAGTGCCGCCCGCAGATATGTGCCACTGTCTAGCGGAAAGTGTTTGGCAACGTACGCAATAGGATTAGGACATTATTCATGTCACGACTATAGCGGGCCACATTCGTCAAACTATTATTTTTCATACTAATCTTGGTTCACCCTAATGGAAGGAGTGATCACGAGAGCACCCAGACTGCAGACGTAGGTGGTTATATAGATAGATAGATAGATAGATAGATAGATAGATAGATAGATAGATAGATAGATAGATAGATAGATAGATAGATAGATAGATAGATAGATAGATAGATAGATAGATAGATAGATAGATAGATAGATAGATAGATAGATAGATAGATAGATAGATAGATAGATAGATAGATAGATAGATAGATAGATAGATAGATAGATAGATAGATAGATAGATAGATAGATAGATAGATAGATAGATAGATAGATAGATAGATAGATAGATAGATAGATAGATAGATAGATAGATAGATAGATAGATAGATAGATAGATAGATAGATAGATAGATAGATAGATAGATAGATAGATAGATAGATAGATAGATAGATAGATAGAAAAAGTAAAGTGCCTGCAGTTCGCAAAGAAATTCTTCGAATTTAAAAGGCGTTTTTGTAGCTTGGTCAAAACACTTTTTGAGATAAAAAAACAGCGCACACTTGCTGGAAAGCTTGGAAGCAACGTTCTTGTGGAGATTATTGCACTGCACCTGAAACAAAGAGTCGCCAACCACGTACTGCACACCCTTTCCCATTCAAAATGAACATGGAGTGAATGCATACTATACTCACGTGTTCGTTCCTCCAGAGCATATGAAAACCTTAATGGTGGTATGACAGTGCGGCATGCGATGTTTGCGGCATCGATGAAAATATCAAACACCTGCTGTGCCACTGTTCTTGATTGCGGCGACCTTTTTCTGTGCAGGTGCTATTACAGCACCGTCCACATCCTTCGACCGCCCACAAGGCAGTGAAAACCCTTTTATGACTTTTGAGGACGACGGGTTTGAATTAACGCACCTCTGACTTACGGTGTAGTCCTACACGCTGCGATGACTTTACTGTCTGTTTCTTCCTTCTTTTTTCCCTTTCTCATCTTTATTGTCTACTTCCCTAGTCCCCAAGCGCAAGGTAGCCAACTGGATGTCTCTATGCTTAACCTCCCTGCCTTCTCCCTTTTGTTGCTTTCTTCCTTCCTACCTTCCCAGTGTTGTTACATCGTGAACTTGTTAGCGTCCAATAGTCAAGAGAGAACTTCATTAAAAATATGATCTTAATGCATTACCTGTTGTGGTGGAATAGCAGGGTGGCAAAAACTTCCTTTAGTAGGACAACGACAGAGAATCAACACGTCGTTTCAAACCGAAATGACGTGTTGATTATCTGTCGTCGTCTGAGTGCTAAGCGAGTGCTAAGGAAATTTTTTACCATTCTTAAATTATGACACAACAGTTTGCTCACGCACTGCTACTCGCATTACTCCAGCAGGAGAGAGTGAGCAAACTAGCCTTTTTTGGTGCCGAAACATGGGAGTCCTTCATTATCAAAAATAATAATGGGCTCTTTCTAACATTGGAGCACTTGGTGTTCGCCTAATCTTCATATAGCATCCATGAAAAATATCATCATCATCATGCAGGCGCTATCTCTCTCTCTCTTCGTCATTCATTCAACACTGTCTGCTTCATTCTCCGAGAACGCCCCCGGTGCGCGCTCACTCGCGAGCCAATTTCGCGGACGTGAAATGGAATAGCTTTGACGGGCGAGAAAACGCCTACCAAAAGAAATATAGAGGGAAATAAATAGATAGCAAGACAAGAAAGAAAGATAGAAATCTGAAAGAAATATGCCTGCACATATATAAAGGCATAGAAAGAAATAGACACAAAAGATAGGAAAGAGAGAGATAGGACAAAAAGAGATTAAAGTAGAAAAAGAAAGAGAAAGAAAAATTAGAGAGAGAAATGAAGAGATAGCAAGAGGAAGGGAGAAATAAAAAGGGTGAAATGAAAATTGAAAGAGAAAGAGGAGGGGAACCTGATGTAAAATCACGTAAGCTGGTCCTGTGACATGTTCCCGGAAAAATTTAACCCAAACCACGTGATGCGAAATCTAGTGCTTCTTGTCACGTTACACGCTCCTGTCACAATTAGACAACAAGCGTCAATACCTCAATGAGAACTTCCAGAACCAATTCAAAAAAAGTGTGAGGGATGAACTTTGTAGTACCTGCGATGCAAACATGAACAAATTAAAGTCGACAAAAAGACAACTTGCCACAAGCAGGGACGACACTTGCAACCTTCGAACAACGCGTTTGACGCACTGACAATTTAGCTATGGCGCCGCTAAACCTGTCGTCCGCATTATCTCTTATAGTACGTGTACACTATAATAGGTAAAAGAGCGCTCCATCCTCGCCTTCATGGCTACGATCGGAGCTGAATAATGTTCCCAGGTTCAAATGCACAGGTGTTCACGAGGAACACGCGTGAAAGCGAGCATCGCTGACGGGCAGGCGAATCACTGCACCGCACTTCCTACAGCGTTAGCATGGCACCCGTGTAGGAACGCTCGCGCTGGTGAAGAGGGGAAGGGGGTGGAAAGATGACAGGGAAATCACTGTTCCAGCCCTAGTAAAGGTTCCGCGAGTTGGTCCATTATCCTTGAGGAAACGTAACAGAGTTTCGGTATAGCCTTCTGAAACTGTGATCGGTAACTCCAGATATATTCATGACAGTGAAGGCACTCTCACTTAGTTGATCTGAAGCAGTACGGAGGTGCAGCTTCTCTTTCGAATGAATCGGGCACAAACACGTAAATGTGCTCGGTAGTTTCATCGACAGCACAGTCGTAGCACTCAGCATTGTCAGCCAATCTCAATAGCCTGATGAACGACGGGCATAAGCTTCCCTGTTTCGACAATATTCACGAAGTGAAAGTTGGATGAATTTGTGTGTGTGTGTGTGTGTGTGTGTGTGTGTGTGTGTGTGTGTGTGTGTGTGTGTGTGTGTGTGTGTGTGTGTGTGTGTGTGTGTGTGTGTGTGTGTGTGTGCGTGTGCGTGTGCGTGTGTGTGCGTGTGTTTCTTGACGGCGGCATGGCAACAATTCCAGAGCTATACAGCAACGTTGCAGTGCTCGTACTATTGTTAGAGCTTGTTTCGTTGTAAACTTGAACACGTTGGTGCTACTTTCAGGCCTGTCCGCTAAAGGGTGACTGCTACAGAAGATTCGCAAATATAGTTACGCGAACACATAGTCTTTCAAGCTTAGCGATGGTCAGTAGAAAGCGGAGGAGGTGAAGAAATTGTATAGTACTAATGCACGCATAGACAACTCGCAGAAAGTTTCAAGGGTGATGTTTATTGCTGTGTGACCATGAGACCAGATCGTTATAAGTGACTCTGCGAAGAACAGTAATCACACAAGTGTTCGTCAAGATGGAAAGCTCGTTTCTGATTTCAAAAGAATAAGACAATATTGTTATTAATCATTATTATTATTCTCATTATGGCATTTGTATAATTTACAGGAATTTTTATATACAATTTTCGCTTTTTATTTTCAAAGACTACAACCGACTTACATGGGTCAAGTCGGTCGTAGTCACATATTTTTGGGGGGCTCAAACTGTATGGGGTGAAAAATGTCATTGCGGACGGACACGCAAGTTAGAAAACACGACAGGAAAGGACCGATGTGTTTCCATAAAATGTAAGCCATTCTTAAGAGGAGCGGCTTACTGGCGGGGCCACACTGGCCTTAGCCACCTGTTCATTCTTCAGTACTTGTCGGTGGGCCAGGTCCGAGCTGGACAGAAGGTATGACAGGAGTCACCATTCACTTACTTTCCTATGTATCTCTGCCAGTCCAGACTGGCGAACGGCTGGACCATTGACTCAGGCCGGAAAGAATCAATGATTATCTTCAACACAACTGTAGTTGGCGCAACTAAAATGAAGAGGAACTGCATGCAGTCCGTCCAAACGACGCCTCGAAGCCCACCCTGTTGTGGAGAAAGCGAGCGTTGCCTTTAATAGAGTGCGTCAAATCTAGAAAGCAGGAGCTGTACTTAAGACAATTGATGGGGCTGTTTCGGCCACATAACAATGATCGTCTTGTGAATTCCTTGCGTTTTTTATAAAGCTGGGCGCACGTCCCTTTTCTGTAAATAGATGTTAAAATTTGACAGCTACGTTAATAGCTACTCAATGGTATAAAGTTCCCATAAACATTGATGTGTTTCTTTTTCGGGTACGAAGGCTACGTGATGATCCAGTTCAAGTTGAACTGCACCTCTAACCATCTCACAATTGTTGTTATATTCAGAGCATGCAAATAGTTGACTACGGAACAAAATGCATTGAAGCCCAAAAAGTTTGTATGAAATTGCTACATGCCTTTTATTGCCCATTTACCTGATATGAGTTCTTTTGATGTTATTTCTTGCCGAACTCTATGTGAAGTTTATTCACGAAATTGGAGGCCGATTTAGACAAAAACAGTTATCTCTGAAGTATATTATTATTATTATTATTATTATTATTATTATTATTATATTATTATTATTATTATTATTATTATTATTATTATTATTATTATTATTATTATTATTATTATTATTATTATTAATAAGCTAAACAGCATTAATATTTTCACTAATGCTCATTTCAGCTTATAAGTGCTTTGGAGCATAAAGATTGCGCATACACGAAGTCTCAATCTAAAATCTGTTCATCCAAGAGTTCAAATTATATCGAACTCTCTCAGAACGCCTATATAAGCGGGACCACAGTTCACGTATTGAATTCTTTGAAAAAAAAGCGCCTCTGACAGGCCAGCTGAGTTTTAGAAGTATGTACACGAACGGCCCAACAAAAACTGGAGAGTACTTGACGCTTCTGAACTGAAAGGGTGTAGGAGAGCATGCCTTCACTAACTGTTGTGCCGCTTCTTTCTCGTCTGTTTTAAGACTTGATACTCTCACACTGAGACTGAACAAAAGCCAAAGACAGTTATCATACCTAATATTATGTCGCTGGATCAAAATCTCTTTTTGTGCCCTTGAAACTATCCTTATCATGGTGCCCAGACCACATACGCCACCCCATATTAGATGGTAGCATGTGTGTCCGAGTACTGACTACGATAACTGACAACATTGTGAACACTTTCGCACTCCCTAGCTTGTATAAAAAGACTGATCACATTTTTCCAGTATTTTAGATCGAGCACTAAAGCTTATATTTACGATTAATATTAGTTTTTTATAATGTGGTACATAAAAGATATTCGAGCATTCTCTTCACACTATAATGTTTCTAGTGTGAAAAACTCTTCGATTGCTAATGAACATCGGTTTCTCGCTGGCGGATCAACTACCACAAACTTTTCTAGTGTTAGGACGCAAACATCCCCAATTGTTTCTCAAAGACACAGGTTGAGATAGTCTACTGTGACCTGAGCAAGGCTTTTGACATAGTTAGCCGATCACTTATTATGCGTAAATTTAAGCACTTTGATGTTGACAGGTCAGTTGTGAATTTCTTAATCATCTAGCTATCTGTGTAACAGATCTGTTAAGTTGCCGTAAATGGCCAAACGTATTTTTTGTACAAAATTACTAGTGAGTCTCTCAAGAGTCCTTATTAAGCCCACTCCTATTTGCAATTTACGTTATTGATTTTTTCGTTTGTAATTCTTTTCTCTTGTATGCACATGAGATTACAATGCTTGAGGGCATTTGTTCAGACAACGGCTGCCGCTTGCTGCAGTCGGATTAGCGTTCTTTTTCCGAAGGATGCAACAGCAGCAACCTTTTTCTGAATACCTATAAATCTAAATTCGTGAGTGCCGCTCGCAAAACATCCAGATGGTCATTGCCACACCCGATCAATTCTTTCTCATTGTGAAAAGTTTATGAGATCAATGATCTTTCTTTTTTTCCTTTTGTTTTTCACAGAACGTTACACCTTTTTTTTCCCACCAAGCATGCTGCTGCGCGTGGCCTCCGCTATCTCGGCTGTATTTTGAAGAATATTTCAAGAATTCAGACAGCTTCAGAGAACTCTCGAATTCTAAGGACATTCAAAACATTAGTACCCCCGCAGAACCCCCGCAGTCTGCTGAGGTTACTAAGGGTTCCGGGACACTGTGGATTAAGATTAAATGGACTGGCCGATTCCTTAGCACGAGCCGCACTTGATGGCCCAGTTTTATCCATACTGACAGATGTTGAAAATATTACAGCAATAAGATATCGAAAATCAGCAATCTCCACTGATATGATAGAAAAAGTAACTACACGGACAGAATATAATTACCTCAAGTTTCCAAAGCCACCCCACTGGAGCCCCTCCAGAAAGCTCGAAGTTTTAGTTACTAAATTTCTTTGGGAAGTTAAACCCCACATATCATAATTACTAAATTTTGATGTTGTGTCCCCACCCTAAACCTGTATCTACACAGAGCTGGTCAGACAACATCACCCCTCTGCGCATTCTGCGGAAAAATGGAATCACTAGAGCATTATTTTTTGTATTGTCGCCACTACGCTATACTTCGAAAAAAGTTACTAGTTACTCCATTTCTGAAAACACGCGTTAGATTGACGGCGTAAACTGCGCTAAGCTTTGGTGCCTCAGTTTTGGGACATTGCCACGGGGATGCTTTCAATGCCCTTTGCGATTATATTCAGGCAATCAAGCGTATACCTTTGTGATCTTCAATCAAATAATTATTATTTATTACTCCCCATGGCAAAGTGAACTAAACGCAGCTGAGTGGTAATCACAACACCTGAAATCTCAAAATTGCTCAACCTCACCTTTCTATTTTTTTTCTCGTTTGCACTCTTTTTATGTGGTTTACCTTACATTAGTCATATTATAATACAAATTCAGTACACATAATTAAAATGATCACAGAAAAACTGCACTACATTTTCTAGGCCAATCTCCCTGAGTATGTATGAGCCATCAGCCCAGGGAAACAAACAAACAAACAAACAGCTCTCATGTCGCCATCCAGAAAATTTTACACGCATACATGCCTTTCTCAACTTCAGTACGCCTTCTTGATTTCAAATGGTGCTGCATAATACAGCAGCAGCATTACTAAACGTGTCCAGCAAAACTTTCGAGGCGCACACATCCATCGCTTCGCAATAGAAATTAGCCAGTATGTCGTTCTAATACTCAAGCATTATTATCACTGTCATCACTTTGCTGTCGACAAAATAGTGCTCATATTCTACATATTAGTTATTTACAAGCTAAATCACGATATTATATCCTGCCCGTACTTCTCCATTGTGTTAGTTTTCGAATTCCGCGTAAGTTACCCAGAGAGACTAGACCGTTTCATGCGCCCGACCACACCTTTTTTTATATATATCACTGTGTCCTAACGAAGCACAAAGTCTCTATATTGCTTATTTTTTTATCTTGATATTTTTATTATTACAATGCCATTGTTTTTGTCCAAGCTTTGCATGGTCTCAATATAGTTTTGTACAATTCACCAATTCTGCCCATCTTCGTCTTATATCCAGTCTTCCACCTAGATGTATATATGTAATGTCGATTTTTTTTCAGTCGCCTTCACTATTTATAGTGTTGCCTCATTTCATTTTTCTTTTTCTGTGTTGATTTCCTTTGTTCTTTGAATTTGTGCTGGTTTATTTGTATTTTCTTCTGAAGACTGTATTTATTTGTTTTTTGCGTGCACCTTCACGAATATCTTACGGTTGTTCTTGGGCGCGTTTATAGATTCATTGGTTCATTGATTGATGCATTAATCGATCAATCGATCGATCGATTTATTTATTTATTTATTTATTTATTATTTATTTATTTATTTATTTATTCATTGACATCCCCGGCTCACTCAGTGGTACCTCATTCTAGTTCAAAATATGGTTATGCTTGCATTTTTTGTAGCACAAGTCTACTGCTGCTACCCACTAAGGGTTAATTTCCTGCTATTCGACCAGCCGACCTGCCACAACTTCACTTTTTTTTCAGTGGGTATGGTCGCACAAAACAGTACATCGATCATTCATACAACACCTGCTGCTCGGCAACAGTGTCCACCGGAAGCTTTAGGAAATGATGCATTATATGCTGTGATTATGGTTCACCTGATGTATAAGGGCAGCTGTATAAAAGCTTAAAGCTCGTCAACTGTTGGAGAATGAATGAAGTAATAGGTGTGAGGGTACATCCGTATGCCAATAACAATATTCTCGTCTATAGAAATAGAAGCAGAGACTAGGTGGCAAATACAATCAGCCGCTGAGCATTATCACATATCTCATCTCACCTTATGAGCGTTATCGTTCATTTAGGAAGGTAGTTAGGTTGCACAAGCTCTGTCTATCATCATGTAGTTCAAGGGGTCTAAAGTACCGAAATCGTTTCAGCTAGCGTCACCAAATTTACTCCCGCTTGGTCTGGGACAGGGAAGAAAGTTGAAACGCGAATCATGGGGGTTGGGGAAGGCATGTACGACAAAACGTCACCTAGACCTGTCACTCAGACAGCGCTTCACCACATGTTACGTACGATTCTTTCCTGAAGCATTTGTGGCGTCAAGAATAGAGAAACATGTCAATACTTCTCACCAGAATCACACAAACCTGGATGATGATTATGATATATCGAGAAGTTTTTCCCTCGGATATGTTTAAACACATGGTGTTCACTAGGGTAGCTTGTTGGGCAAGTTTGTACATATTTTTGGTGGGAATACCAGCAGTATACATCTTCCCTGTCCCTGTCTCGTTTTCTTGTCTCAATTGATTTTACTTCATTTGGTACTGTTAGCATTCCCACTAAGACATTGCGACCACAAAGGGGTGGCTCACGAAAAAAAAAACATGCTTGAGACCAGTCCTGTTCAGCAGCTTACCCACTATTGGTATGCCGCATGGGTTCATTATTTATTACATACTTTTTAATTATTTTTTCGCCAATCACGATTGACGAATAAAAATTGCTTGTACAAATTAACAAAATCCCAAACATTTTATACAATCTGAAGCCACGGTCTGCTAGCAAAACATACACGGGTCGCATGTTTGAGACCCCTTACGTGGTTGCTTAGCACGGACAGCAGAGCGGCTGCTAGTTCTATTGATTCACGCTTACCAGTGCCGTGTAGAGAGTCCCTGTTATTCCAATGATGATGTTACACCAAAATAGCGGTGCGTTCAGTGCTGCAAAATAATGAGGTACTTTAGATGTTCAAAAACAAAGGTGACAAAAATCTCGAGGTGGTATGAATAGTTCCCGAGAAAGTCATTTTTCTGCAAATGCAAAGAAGGAGCTCCGTGCACATCTTGTTGGCATGTCCTAGATTCTGCTTCTGCCAAGCAAAAATGCGTACAATAAATGCTCACGTACACATAGTATATCCAATTCTCAAAACAGTCGCTTAAGAACAATAACGAGTGTATATGTTAGTATACTTTCTTATAACGTATAGTTTCTTTCCAATGGATATAATGAATTATTCTTACCAACCTCGTAAACGCAAGAGAGAGTCAATATTACCTTACATATTGTTACGGAGATATATGAATGGGTGCGCAAAGAAAGAGTGGCCGTGTTTTTTTTTTTTTGCTATTTTGTACTCTGGCTTTATTCAATATGCCTTGCTGATTTTACATCTGTACTTTAAGCAGAGTTAGTACTTGGTTTACCTTTTAGAAGGGGGCTAGTTATTTTTCACAATCATCTTCATTTATTCAATGAACCTTACTTAGAAGTCCTACGAGATTGTGGTACGGGCAAAAGGCTCCACCTAGGTGATGGCCACGAGTTTTTCAGTCCTGGCGGCTTCGTCGGCCAGCTGGATAGCCCAAAGTTGGCCTTCGAGGGCAGATAAGTGCAACACAGTATTCCAGCGCACGCGGTGGCGATCGCTAGAGGATGCGTCCCCAGTATTGTTCGTTATCCTTCGATATTCTTGGAGCATGTGCTCTCGAGTGGCTCTGCAAACACTGCTCTTCCATTCTTATGTCTTGCGTATGTCTGAGTAAATAATGTCTAAAATCGCTAGGTTCCTATATCTTCTGGTCTGTGCCACCAGTCGAGACACTGCGTTTTATTTATACGAGCAAATGATTTGATATGTGTGGTTTAACGTCCCAACACCGTCATATGACTATGAGAGACATCGTAGGGGAGGGCTCCGGAAATTTCGACCATCTGGGGTTCTTTAACGTGCACCCAAATCTGAGCACACGGGCCTACAACAATTTCGCATCCATCGGAAATGCAGCCATTGCAATCGGGATTCGATACCGCGACCTGTGGGTTAGCAGCCAAGTACCTAAGCCACTAGACCACCATGGTGGGGTGATATATATACAAGCAAGTCTCGGTGAGGTGAAGGTAGAAGGTATGTTTGCAATTTGTAGTGTTGTATGATATTGACACAAGCATGTAGTTGGTTTCTGGCTGTTGCGTGGCAAGTATCATCATTACTTGGGCGTGTCGAATGATTTGGTCGGCAGAATTACGACGAAAAGCTCGCGCTGCTCAGCCGAAGCTGTTCTGCTGTTTGCTACACTGTTACTTGCACTGATTTCATTACCGTGACAAACTGGTGGAGGTGCTGGGTACAATTCCTATTCGCTAGTTTCAACTCAAGCCGCTTCAAGCTTCTGCCACTATTTCAACAATTCTGGAGGAATACCTGGCACTTCGCGTCAGGCGCCACTTGCTAGGACTACCTCCTGAATTCGGTTCCTTAAACTCGGCAAGGATGACCACCACAACGGCAAGTCAGACACAAGAGAGCAACGTAGACCAACTCCCATACACCCCAAGCGTCGTCTACAAAGCACGCATCATGAAGCCGTTTCACGGTGATGTGCTTGAGGACGTAGATGACTGGCTAGACCACTTCAATCGGGTCACAGCCGCCAACGAATGGAATGACACCAATAAGCTTCGCTATGCCTATTTCGCACTTGAAGACTATGCTCGCATCTGGTATGAAAACCATGAGTCATCAATCACCAACTGGCAAAAATTTCTGCGACAGCTATGCCAGGCATTCAGAAATACCGAAAGGAAAGAAAAAGCCGAGCAGGCGCTGCAGAGCCCGGTTTAGAAGCGAAAAGAAAACGTGGCTATGTTTGTCTGAGACATGTCATGCTTGTTTAAGCGCGCTGACCCAGTGATAGATGAAACAAAAAAGTTCGACTCCTCCTGCGGGTTGTCAAGGAGCAACTTTTTGCTGGACTCATACGCAAGCCTTCTACCACTGTCGATGAGTACATCACGGAAGCTACTACCACGGAACGGGCACTTCAGCAACGCTATCTACAGTACGATCGTTAAGCTTCTGTCGCCGCGGTATCACCTTTCACCTGTGGACAGGACTTATCAGCACTCCCCTAGATTATGCGGAGCGTGGTCCGCGAGGAGATCGAAAAAGTTCGTCCCACTTCTACTCACCCAAGTGCGACTATCCTGGGAGACATTATTCGCGATGAACTGAGGAATGTGTCCCAACCATTGCTCCCAATGCGTGCGGAAGCTCCTGCTCTGTCTTACGCCGAAGAATTGAGGAGTCCTCAATCCTCTACCGGACGCCAGCCGCTCTCTACTTTCTCACTATCGCCCCGTCTTTTCGCACCTGCAAATAACTACGAGAACACTTTCCAATATGGCGTTCCGCGTGAAGTCACCCGTAAATTGGACGTTTGGCGCACATCTGACGACAGGCCCCCTTGCCACCACTTAGCGGATAGCAGGCCATCTGTATCGCTAATGTGCGGATCGCAGGATGGGCCTTCAGAGGTTTCACCTTAACGCGCGTAGACCCAGCAACGGGGAGCGTCCTCGCGAGATTCAGCAATACCTAGCAGCGCAGCAGCCGTTTCCTCCTGCACAAAGCCACCGGCCACGCTCACCTTCTCCTCGGCGCCTCGGCTCACCTAGTCGTTACGCCACGTTCTGTGGTGTACGAAACATGTCTCCAAGTCCTGGCCCACGCTAGGAAAACTAAGGCCAGCGGCCTATGAGGGGGTGCTGTTGACCGAACTGACAAACATCCTCCTCCACGGCACGTGTACGACACCGATATCTCTGTCACAAAATTTTCTGAACGTGACGCAGCATTTTTCGGCGATATTTCTATAACCGTCGACAATCACTCGGCCACCGCACTCGTGGATACCGGAGCCCGATTACTTCGTTATGAGTGGTGACTTCGCGGCTGCTCTCCGAAAAGTGGTAACGCCATGGAACGGTCCAGCAGCTCCGTTCCACGGGTAGTCATCTAGTGACGCTGGTTGGGAAGTGCACTCCCCGAGTACTTATTGGCAGCTTCGACCTTTATCGGGACTTTCGTAGTACTGCGGGAATGCTCCAGGCAGGTCATCTTGAGATTGGACTTCCTTCGAGAATATGGAGCTATTATAAATCTCCGAGAATCGCTGGTGACGTTTTCACGTAACGAACATTTTTCAGGATTGTGAATCGCGTATGATGGCATTGCGTGTATCCGACGATTCAGTGACAGTACCGCCCCGTTACAGTGTTCTGGTCAACGTGCTGAGTGACATCAACCGAACGACTCTCGGAGTTGTGGAAGGCAATGTGTCCGCGCTCTTGTCTCGTCAAGTATGCATCGCCCGTGGTCTCATAGAACTAACACAAGAGCCTGCGAAAAATCTATTAACTAATTTCAGTCATGAATACCAGCACTTCATGAGGCAGTGTGCCATCACTTCGAAAAAATCAAACACTCAAATGCCAGCTTATCACTCGCGCAACTCTCTTCGGGTCCTCACGACGACAAACAGTCCCCGGTTAAGCTTGACGTGAATTGTGCACTGTCGACTTCAGAGCAAGACTATCTTCGCTCCCTCCTGCTTTCGTTCAATGATTGCTTTGCCACGACGTCTAAAATCAAACACCCATCGCGAAGCACAGAATCATAACAGAGCCCAACGTAAGGCCTATTCAACAACATACTTATCGAGTTTCTCGCAGAGAACAAGACGCCATCCACGACCAAGTGCAACAAATGCTTGCTGACGACATCATTCAGCCATCTACAAGCCCATGGGCATAACCAGCTGTGTTGGTTTAAAAAAGACGGCACATTGCGTTTCTGTGTTGATTATCGCAAACTGAACACCATGACAAAGAAAGACGTTTATCCGCTTCCTCGCATCGACGACTTACTCGACCGCCTTAGAAACACCCCATAATTTTCATCCATAAATGTACGCAGTGGATATTCGCAAATTGAGGTCAATGAGCGTGACCGGGAAAAGACTGTCTTCATTACCCCTGCCGTGCTCTTCGAATTCAAGGTGCTTCCTTTTGAACTGTGCTCTGCTCCCGCAACTTTTCAACGAATGATGGACACAATTTTGTCCGGTCTCAAGTGGCAATCGTGTCTTGTCTATTTAGATGACGTCGTCGTTTTTTCATCGACTTTCGAGCAGCACCTTCAGCGTCTTTGTGCAGTACTTGAGGCCTGTCGCTCAAGCACGAAAAATGCCACTTCTCCTACCAGGAGCTCAAGTTTCTCGGCCATGTGGTCAGCAGTGACGGAATTCGCCCAGACCCCAAGAAAACACTGGCTGTCGCTGCCTTCCCGACTCCGACGAACAAACACGACATACGCCGTTTTCTGGGTCATTGTGCGTACTATTGTCGCTTCGTTCCGAACTTTTCAAAAATAGCAGAACCCTTAAACCAACTCACGAGAGACAACATTGCTTTTGTGTGGGCCCCAAAACAACACGAAGCTTTTTGCGAGCTACGACGACACTTCGAGACTCCGCCAATCTTGGGTCTTTTCGACGAAAATGCTGACACTGAAGTGCATACAGATGCAAATAATGTCAGCCTCGGAGCCGTCCTTGTGCAATGGCAGGAAGGTATCGTATGAGTGATTGCTTACGCTAGTCGTACGTTATCATCGGCTGAAACGAACTATTCCGCCACAGAAAAGGAGTGCCTGGCTGTCGTGTGGGCCAAAGGCAAGTTTCAACCATATTTGTACGGGCGACCGTTCAAAGTAGTCACCGACCACCATTCGTTGTGCTGGCTTGTAGGCTTCAAAGACCCCTCAGGCCGCCTAGCTCGATGGAGTCTTCGCTTACGAGAATTTTACGTTACGGTGGTTTACAAGTCAGGACGAAAGCACACCGATGCTGACTGCCTATCACGTGCCCCAGTCGAGTCGATTCCTCCTGACCACACTGACGATGAAAATTTTCTCATGGCTGCCCCAGCCTCCGACTTGGCTCATAAACAGCGCAATACCACAGAACTTCGCCCGATCATCGACTTTCTCGAGGAAAAGCTTGAACAGCCGCCACGAACATTCAGGCGCACGATTTCATAAATTTTCCTTCGTGACAACGTCCTGTACAAGCGGTGCTTTAATTCCAACGTTCGAACCAGCCTACTGCCGTACCATCTTTAAGGCGTGCATCCTTAAGGCGTGCCATGACGAACCATCTTCCGGGCATTTAGGGTTCACGCGTACTCGGGCAGGTATCCGCCACACGTACTACTGGCCCAAACTGTCCCGTACGGCCAAGCACTACGTCAAAACCTGCCGAGACTGTCAGCGTCGCAAAATTCCGCCCATGAAATTCGCTGGTCTTTTACACCCCGAGAACCGTTTCAAGAAGTTGGCATGAAACTGCTAGGTCCATTTCAAAATCTTCAGCGGGCATTCGCTGGATAATAATTGCGACTGACTATTTAACCCATTACTGTGAAACACGAGCACTCCCACGCGGTACGGCAAGTGATGTCGTGTATTTCTTCATTCATGCTGTCGTCTTTCGCCATGGTGCACCGGCCATGGTTCTAACCGACAGAGGCACGGCCTTCATTGCACAACTGCTAGAAGAAGTGATGACACTCAGCGGCACCGTACATCACCGAACGACAGCTTACCATCCACAAGCTAACAGATTAACCAAACGGCTCAATAAGACCATCACAGACATGGTTTCCATGTATGTCGACGTGGACCATAGTAACTGGGACAGTGTCCTCGCTTTCGTAACTTTCGCATATAACACCGCTATGCAAGAAACTACAGGCTTTACACTTTTCGCCTGCTTCACTGCCGCGAAGTTACTACGATGTTAGACGCCATGCTTTTACCTGATGCCTTTACGATCACCTTTGAAAATGCTTACCAATATGCACAGCGCGCGGAAGAAGCTCGACAACTAGCTCACTTGCGCATTCGCTCTCAGCAACAACACGATGCTCACAGGTGCAACCTTCGCCACAGAGAATGAACCTACCATCCCGGAGATAAAGTGTGGCTTTGTAGTACCGTACGCCAACGCGGCCGCTCTGAGAAACTCTTACGTCGTTATTTCGGCCCTTACCGGGTTCTTCAGCACCTCAGTTATGTACACTACGAAGCTATCGCAGAGCCCAGCGTGTGGTCTTCCCGTCATGGAGGGCAGCCAGACATCGTCCACGTGGCTGTAGGATTAAGCCATATTACTCACGCCGAAGACTTGCTCTTGCCTTCATACATCTGAAAGCGTCGAGTCGGTTCTTTTCGAGAAAGGGAGTAATGACACGAGCATATAGTGGGTTTCTGGCTGTTGCGTGGCTAGTATCATATTTCCAAGAGCGTGTCGAAGGATTTAGTCGGCAGAAAGATGACGATAAGCTCACGCTGCTCAATCGAAGCTGTTCAGCTGTTAGCTACACTGTTACTTGCACTGATTTTATTCACGTGACAATATCATGAAATCTCTTCCTGCAATCAATCTGTACGGTCCTCTCGTACGCATCTATCCTCGTTCTGGAAAGACGCTAAAATAGTACGTTTACGTCTTCTGTTTGTGATGCTGCTAGGGAAATCGCTGTATTTTCCACAGTCTTGACTTTTGCGGTGCTTGCGGCAAATCCCCTTTTGAATTCCTTTCCTCATCAATTACAACTGCTGTAAAGCGTTGGCCGTGCTTCCACCTGGTCATGTCACCAAAAACTTCGCAGAGTGCTTTTGCATTCAATGATCTGCTTTATTGTCTACCTTTATGATATACGGAGCGAAACAATCATTCTATACTGAAATACTAAAAGGCTCGTGCCATCAAGGAAGAAAAATCGGATCAGAACAGAGAAGGCGTACCAACAAGCCCAAAAAGAGTTTTTTTTTAGTTATTATCATTTTATACCTGATACTATTAACGTGCCAGATTACCTTCTCAAAATCCCGATTTCAATTCACAAGTATATTCACTATCTTTTGACTCACGATTTTTGCACTTGACGTGGGTACCAGGTAACTCTGGTCTGTTTAAAAAGAAAAAAAAATATTTTCACATGCCGTATAAAAAAAGCACTTATTTATAGCCTCAGACTTTTTCTTCTCGAGGATCCATACTCGCTTGAATAATATTCTGTTAAATGTCAACATGCGCATCTGTACTGTTCGCATCTGTATAATAAGAATGGGATATTTGCTGAAGTAATAAGTAATTTTTCAATTTACCAACCTTACATACTGTTTTATCCATAGTCTAGTAGCCGGTAGAATTAGTATTTACCATACAACAAAGTAAGTTAGTTAGCCCTCTCTTGCCTTTCAAAAGAGAAAGCGCATACTATCTTTGGAGGGCTACATGTTAGGCAGCAGAGTAGCACCCTGTCCGATCTCACGCACAAGTAAAACACCTCCGAATTACACAGTTAGCTCTGCCACTATCGAAAGCTATAACGACGCGCTAAGTTCGAAAATTTTAACTGTGTCATCAGATGCCACTGCTTGTGTGAGCAAGAAGGCATGCTACTCAAGCCACGTTTACTTCACATCGTAGTAAGGTTTTACACTAGAGACAGGCAAAAGCCCGTCGGCTTGTGCAGGAGCAAACACAATCACTGTACTATACTATACATTTCGGTGTCGAAGAAACTGATTTTATAGCCACCTCGCTTATGATGTCATTCCGCTTCAACACCAAGTGTTAACTTTGCACAGAGCTTCTCTATGCGAGCGACCATATTGTGCTTTCTACTCAGCACAAGCAAGCCTAAGCCGTAAACTCGAGAAGTTTTATTGCGAAAGCCTCAGATGACTCATCACGCATACGGGTTTATATTAAAGGCAGGAAATAAAATATTCTTATTACAGGTCTTCTTCGTCATTTGCTTTCCGTTTCTCCAAGTGAACCTCTTCAATTACTGTGCGCCATGTGCTGCTAACAGCACCAACGACAAAACCCGGCTATTTTGAAAGGCTGTCATTTTAAAGATGTCTGTCAGGCCTTCGTAATCTATCCTTCAAATAGTTTAAAATTATTTACTTACTAATATGAACGACAAAAATCTTGCCTATATATGCCCCTAACACGCAGTTTCGCAGAAAAATACCAGCTTGATAAGGCACGGGTGTCTTTAAAAAAAATCATCTTTTGGAACAGATTTACCTGTGACCAGAGTGAGCGAGGCTGCGAAAATTGAGACAGCGCCCACAGTTTGCTGCAAAAGAAGCATATCCAAGAGTTAGCTACAAAGAAACTAAATGTCTAAGCCATGATAACGCTTATTTGCACTCGTTCAGAAAAAAATGTGAGCTGCACAGTCATAAAAGAGAAGTTCACTGTACAGTTCTTGTTGTTTTTTTTTTCAAAATTGTGCGCAAAGTATTGATTTGGGAAAGCTTAGCTGTTCGAAGATCTTACACATAAAAAAACATATACGGGAGCATGCGAAAACTGAGCAACGCTAACCAGGCTGTTTCAAACATGAAAAAAAACGCAGTAAGACCTATTCCTATGAACGTCATTCATTCCAGTCTGCTTGGTTAATGACTATTGAAGTGCTGCCAGATAACTAAACTAGCAGTTCACTTTCATGTGAATGCTATTGAATTACGTGTGCTACAGAAACAGTTGTAAGCAATGATTTCCTACTATGTTGAAAAAAAATGGCAGCATATCCACGGGTTCAATGATGGAGAGTGGGACGAAACATCCGTCCGTCCATTCGTTCTTGCTTCCGTCCGTCCATGCGTCTGTCTGTGTGACCGTCCGCACGTCCATCCGTGTGTTCGTCCCTGCGTGCGTCCATGCGTCCATTCGTTCGTGCTGCCATACGTGCGTCCGTCCATGCATCTGTCTGTGAGTCCGTTCGTTCATCTAGTCAACACCAAGTACCACCATCTCGCATCTTTTCATCATATATTACGCATATAGAAGCACCACCATCGAGCGGACATTCCAAGGACTAAACGAAAGGTGGCACACGCACACTTTCTTACGGCTTGAGCTTCGTGTGTACTTCCCAACTTTAACCACCTCAATTTCATGGCATATACTCATTCACAGTATTCATGGCACTGCGGTCCAACGCTCGCTAAACATTTCTAAAACAAAGGAGGTTATACCCAGCGAGTATAACCTAGAAGCCCTTTCTTGTCAGATAATGCTCAATGTGCATGCCAATGACTGCTAATTGGGAATGAGAGACAGGAGAAGTCGGCTTTTAGTTCACGCGCACGCAAATTTTTTTATTGTTCAGCAACGCACAGGAGAAATCTCCCACCGGCACCACCTTGCAGGTCAAAGCGTAAGACATGTTACGTACTACGATGAGGGACGAACGGGTGTCGCTCTAAAGAGCTTCGCGTCTAATATAGCAGTGGTTTATCCCGACCTTACCAGGATATAGGTTGGCTACGGATGGACAGACAGACAGCCAGATGAATGGATGGGCAGACGGGCTGACAGATGTACGGACGAACCAACGGACTAGCGAGCGAGCTCACGTGACCACTTTAAAAGCTTCTAGGCCTTATCCGGCACGCCAGCTGTGCACCGAATGACGTCACTGCTCCTCCGGCATGAGTACCATCATATGGCTTCATAAAATTAAATAGAGGTGACTCTGGCACTGCGACCATTCAGCGATCATGAGAATGATGGGTAGTACGTGGATTTGCCTAGTCTTTGTACTTGTGGATGGCGAATTGCACTTGTGGCTTAGTTTATCGCTGTGTTTCGGTTTTGTTTCGAAAGAAAGAGTGAGCCTTTTTGAACTTCGTGACCCGATTTCAAATGGTAAGTCAAAAATTATAATGTGGTGATATGCAACCACTGAACATTTGCTCAATTTTGTTTCATGGGATAACAGTTTCAAGCCTTAAGAACACACATGGAACCAGAAGTACGAAGATTAGACGAATCCATGTACATCATTCCCATGTTCACTGTAGCGCCGTGCGTAGCAGCTTCCATAGACACTAGCGCCAGAGTCCTCTCTAGTGTATATTTAGGAAACTATGAGTACCACAGCTCTCAATAAGCATGGCGAATCTTCTAAACTTCGGACAGTGTACATTGATCTACAAATTTTTTTAAAAATCAGTTTGATTTCGCTCCGTCGTCCAGCCTACACACCGTCACCACAATGCGCCTCGCTGGTCAACTACCCATTTCAGTTCTACATTTTAGTCCATAGGCTTGGGGAATTAACCTTAACTGCATAACCAATTGAAGTCACCTGTCATAACGAAAGTCTTCGCAATAAAATGTCAGCGTTTGTACCTCCAAGAAAAAAAGAAGTCACAGTTTTTCCACTAATTGATAATTTATATGTGGAGCTTAACATCCCAAAACCGCAATATGATTATGAGAGACGCCGTAGTGGAGGGCTCCGGAAATTTTGACCACCTGTGGTTCTTTAACCTGCACCCAAATCTGAGAACACGGGCCTACAGCATTTTCGCCTCCATTGAAGATGCAGCCACCGCAGCCGGGATTCGATCCCGCAACCTGCGGGTCAGCAGCCGGGTACCTTAGCCACTAGACGACCGCAGCGGGGCTGTTTCACCTCTAGGGCGAAGCATTGAATGCAATCGATTGCAAGAAATGAGATTGTCGCACGAAGAACGGCAAGTAGCTCAATACTTTCAGCACGCCACTACAGCACAAAGATGGAGGCTCAAAAAGAACGCATAGCTATAGACTGGACGAGTGTGAACTAACAACTGTCATAACTGTTACTTGTTAGTACTTGAGCTACGCACTGAAAACGTCCACAATGCAGAAGACGACGCTCTTTTATTTTTCTTCTCTTTTAAACTGCGGCAGGTGGAATGACCGCTGTTCTCAACGTCATCATTATTGAAGTTCTTTTGGCGTTTGTGAGCTGGATGATAATATTTTGACACAGTTCAAGCAAGGATGTGTAGTCAAGAAGGGCTTATTTTCTTCTCAGCAAAACGTGAACAAGGGGTCCCTGGACCGATTCGACGCTTATATAACGCACGAGCTAGGAAAGGTCATTGTGAACTCGACTCCATTCAAAGCTTTCCAGGCAAACAAAGGAGGCAACTGGGCCGCTTTCGAGGTCACTGTGGGTTTGAAGAGACCGAAACCAGCGCGATATTTGCAGTTGGGGCTGAAAGCTAAAACCCAAACCGGTTGTAGCAAAGAACGAGGGATTTGTCGACCACTCCTCTTTTCCCCTCTCTCCATAGCATCGGCTAAATGGAGAGGCAAGTTTGGTACGTGTAACGGCAGCCGGTCTTTCGAACCTCACCCTACTTGTCGGAAGAGTTCTTGGAAACTAAGATCATCTAGGATCATCGGACATGCGCATTATCTCGGTGACGTGGGCAAAACATTGGTGCAGTGAGTTCGTGACCGTATGTGGGCATCATTTAGACTGGTCCTTCTCCACGTGCATTGTGTGGTGTCTTTCCTCTCCTTTGTGGGTGGAGCACCTAGACCATGAAGCGCCGTATTGGCTGAAGCAGCGGACAATGCACCCAGGATTGGCAACGCGGCGCCACATAAGCGGAAGACCTTTGTGTACCTTCAGCTCTTGAGTTCTAGTTCCTGTTCAGTTCTATAGCGAGCTCTTACTTGATCACTTGATCACCTCCTTTCGAATTCTCAGTTACTGACCATGTGAATAAATTGTTGTCGTCCTATGCGAGCACCTCATCTGACTTGTTGGATGATGGGTCCCACGATGGGGGCCCCCTACCCGAATGAGACCCGCGGGACCCGGAGTCGCAACACCCCTCTGCGTCTCCTGCCACGCGGTGGCGTCTGACGTCTAGTGTGCCACATGTTCTTTTTTTTTTGCTTCTCCATAATGAGGGTTGCAAAAAGAGCCACTTTTTCTTGTGCGTTTAAAGGGCTTGATGATTGATTGATTGATTGATATGTGAGGTTTAACGTCCCAAAACCACTATATGATTATTAGTGACGCCGTAGTGGAGGGCTCCGGAAATTTAGACCACCTGGGGTTCTTTAACGTGCACCCAAATCTGAGCACACGGGCCTACAACATTTCAGCCTCCATCGGAAATGCAGCCGCCGCAGCCGGGACTCGAACCCGCGCCCTGCGGGTCAGCAGCCGAGTACCTTAGCCACTAGACCACCACGGCGGGGCGTGCGTTTGAAGGGCAGTTTTCAATTTGAAAGAAAATTGTAAAAATGTTGGTGATAAAAATATACTCAATCTGAAATCTCCGTTTCGCGAGTGGTACACGGTATACATAAATAACTTGTCGTTGTATTAACCACGTACATAGCATGCGTTTTCTTGTACTACCCAAATGCAATGATATGCCATTTGCCATGCTCTTGTTAATGAATAATTATACTTTATGGAAAGCTTGCATGTTAGACAGGCATGCGCAACTAATGGTGTCTTCACGATCACATTTTGTACAAACGACTGTGCAGCTAAAAAACTTTTATCAACAACTGCACTTTCAGCCGGACTGGTACACAGAGTTCAAGAAGTGTGCTGCTCAAACATTGTTTTAAACACAGTGTTGTATGGAATTTGTTTTGTAATGCCCATTGTACATTTCTCTAAGCGGCCTTGAGTATGCTGTGTGCATACGTAAACCAAATTTGTATTTGATACAATCTAACAGAAAAATAAAAGCGTGGCGAGTGACTGTGTAGGTTATCGCAGCGGGCTGTGGAACGGGGGTTCGCTGGTTTGAATTCCCGATATGCCCTGCTTGGAAATGGTTTCTACTAATTTATTTTTCGTTATTCCTTTCTTACATATATAAGTGCATATACATATTGGGGACATGATGGTGACGGCAGAAATCAGTCGAGATTGTCCACATAATGGCTATCACAATAAAAAAAACCATGCCCGCTGCCCCGCGATATCAATGAGCAGCGTCCTAGAGCATGGCTATGACAATTTTTACACATCTTCATGCAACCAAAATACAACTTTTTCCTAGCGAGTGTAGAGGTTTAGAGTTTTATTTTTACACGAGCACAGTCAAGTCCCTTTTGAATTTATTATCCGGCCATGTTTTATTTGCTACGTACAAACGAAGATGATTCCAGTCGTTTTTTATGTTAGAAAATTCTTACCGTGAGAAAAATGTAGACGCAGCACGCTGTCAGGGAAATGTGGCCGTTGAAGCGCATGCGAATGTACTGCAGAATCGGGAAACAGATCCGTATTTCAATGTCCTTTCATCGTTATCACGAAGTCTATATACGAAAAAAAGAACAATCAAACACTCTTAAAGGTTTGCAGCATATGCAAAGCGATTGGTGTTGTTTCTTTGGAACTCCGCTCACACTGGACGGATTCTAATGAAAAATTTGCGGCAGTCCATTGGTGAAGCAATAAGCTTCTTTGGCAAATTCTTCTAAAACAAGTTTTCGTAACATTTCAAGTATACACGCGCATCGTGTGCAGAATGCCGTATAGAGATCAACGATTCCACACGTGCCAGCGCTTAGAGCCGCCGGCAGGCCACTAATTCCAAGAAACAATCCTTCCTCCTCTACGGGTATTTTTAGCCTCCATATGATGTATAGGAGTTGAATCTATGACGTGTAGCAGAAATAGGCTGTGAGTGGCCGAGCAAAAACTTGCGACTTTCGGTTAGCCTGCAAGCAGCTGTCCGCACTGCTTGTTGTTGTTTATCGTGTTTCCTACGTGCACTTGCTTTAGTATCACCGGCACGATACGTATGAGCACGGACTGGCATGGCAGCAGTGGTTAGCCAACAAGCACGCAGTTTACGGAGTCAACGTAGTCGTGGCAGTCATAAGAATAGTCATTAGAGCAGCGCGTTAGCGATGACATATGCCACGTGAAGATGGGAGAGGCGCGGGGCGAGAAGGCAAAGCTGCTTTCGGAGATGATACCGACATAAGGTAGAGAAGGAAAGAGCAAAAGGACCAATCACCACGTTTCTATATTTAAGCGTGCCAAACTCCGCTATTTCGGCACCGTTTCGAAAACTTTGACGCCTTCATGTTCGCTGTACATTCGTGCACAACTTGCCCACCACAACTGAATTTAGGCCTCTTCCTCTTGGTTGTTTAGAGGGCCTTTAAACGAAGATGCGATTCGAAACAAAAAATTAATGAATGCGTATCCTAGACCAACGAAAATTTCGCTGTGTGTGTAGGCTTGTATTATTAGTTTTGTAGTAAGTCGCACAGTCTTCGTTTTGTTCCATGATAAAGTGTACATTTCGGACTAACTTTATGCCCCTAAGTTTTTATGGTACTGAGCCGTCAGTGCCTCACATTGCTTCGCATTAACTGTTAAACGCAAACAACTACAATAAAGCGTGTGTAAGACGTTTTACTAGACAAGAAAAATTGTAACGAGAAAATTATTAGAATCCCCAGCCCATACTAACTTCTTAGGTTTGTAATATATACTGAAATATCACGTTTTAGGCAATACTTGCACCCTTTACACGATAAAGAATATGTGGGCGAAATTTCGTCCTGATCAAGCTCTGAGAGGTACCAAAAACATGATGTCCAAACTCAAGAAGTTTCCCTAAAATGTAACTTGAAAAAACGCAGTTTTAAGGTGTAAGTCAAATCTCATCTATGCCGGAAATACATTGTTACGGAGATGAAGTAAAGGAAGACGAAGAGCAGAAGCAGCTGACAGGCACACGAGTGTGCCAATCAGACATGGTGGACTCTTGCCTGTGGTTTTCCTCTGTAAATGCATCTTGTACTCAAGTCACCAACCCCGTAACATATTGGTGGAGGTGCTGGGTAACCATCAGGAAACGGAGCTCAGCAGCGACGTCGCATTGCTTTTCCAGTTATGGCCAATGCTGAGCCCTCCGCATCAGCGTCGGCTTCTCCGACGAACTCGGCGTCGCAACCATACGTTTTCACGCATCTTAAGGGTCCCGGTACTTTCTACGGGACTGATGGCGTCGACGTTGACGATTGGTTGGCCATGTTCGAACGAGTGAGTGTGCCGAACAGATGGGATCCCACACTTCCGTTGAATAATGTGCTGTTTTACTTGAGAGGCACGGTCAATGTGTGGCGTGAAAACAACGAAGAACTCACAAGCTTAGACCAATGCAAGAAAAGATGCGAGGGGCGTTTGGCAAAACCACCAGTCGTAAGATCGCCGTCAAAAAGGCATTGGCCTGTCGTGCCCGATCCCCCACGGAATCGTATACCTCGCATACATTCAAGACGTGCTGGCCTTCTGCCGAAAGCGATATGACAGAAAGTGGCAAGGTCGGGCATGATGTCCCGATAGGGATTGCCGACAACGCGTTCAATTTCCTGATGTTCAAGGGCTGTTTCATGCGTGGACGCGATCATCAAAGAGTGTCATCAGTTCGATCAAGTGAAAAGTCGCCGCATTCTTCAAGCATTCACCCGACTTCCAAACACCGCTGCAACATCGGCTTGCGAGGACCAGTCCACACCACAACGTCCATCGCCGCCGGGAGACCTGACACGCATTGTTTGTCGCGAACTGGAAGCAATGGCGCTCTCAGCGTTCTATTCGCGTAGCATCGATGCCACTCCTGTTACTGTTTCTCTTGTTCCAGCCATTATGCGCCAGGAGCTTGAAAACATCGGAGTGCATTCCGCGTGCCATGTCACCGCGCCCAGAGTCAGCGAACGCCCTTTCGCGATGTCCTCCTTTGTCTGACGGTTTTCTCCGCGTACTCGACACACGGCTGAGTGCCGAACTGCAGATGGCCGCCCTATATATTTCAACTGCCACCGCATTGGGCATATTGCTCGTTAGTGCCGCGACATTGGGTCCTCGGCACCTCGTTCAACGACCAATATGACCCATTTCGACGGTACCATCCACACTATTTTCGCCTGCCCGTGAGTTCAATGCCGTTGAGCATTTTGGGAACACTTGGTACAGCCGCTTGCCTTCACCACGGGGACACCATGTCTCGTTCGCCGCAAACACGTCGCCCATCGTCTCGTTCGTCGCAGCCACAGCGCTTCTCATCCCCCATGGCTTCCGGCCGCAGTGTCTCAGAAAACTGAGAAATGCAGCCCCCGGAGATGGTGCTGCATTGACGACTTCCGCAGCAAATCCTCTCTCCGTTCCCACAAGACGAAGTATAATAGACGCTGAAGTAGACGGCGTACCTGTAAAAACACTTGTCGACACCGGCTCAACATTTCGGTTATGAGTTCTAGCCTACGCTTACGTTTAAATAAAGTTCTGACCCCAGCGGCTGCACAAGTGCTCCATGTGGGCGATGGTGGCACGCCGATGGTTCTCGGTCTGTGCACTGTCAAACGACCACACTACTTCTGTCATTTTAGCCGGGATTGACCGGTGACCTTATGACGTTATCCTAAGCTGAACTTCTTGTCTAATCATTCTGCTCTTATCGATTGTGCTACCGGCGTCCTCCAGCTAGAGCTTCCTCAGATTGTCGCTGAACCCCGCACTGCCCCGCCGCGCCGGTGCTCTCTTCAGGATGTGCGGCTGTCACCTTAGGCAGCCACTTACGCCGTTTCGACCACACAGCCACAGGTTCCGATGGTCAATATGTCCTCTTTTCTCTCACCGACCTCCTTTTGAGCCGCAACATCGTCATTCCCCATACGCTTGTGACTGTCACTGACAATGGCACCTCGCTCCCACTTCTCAATTCCAGCTTGTGTCCTCAAGTGCTTCCTCGGGGCATGTGTTTAGAAAAAGTTGTTAACGATTGAGAGTACTTGGTACTCTACTATAGGAGTTTCTCGGTCAATATATCTAATGATAACGAATTCAAAATAGCGGCTCTCACCATCGAGATTGATTTACTTCAGTCTGCTGTAGCTAACAGCACTTGTTCTCAGCCGGATCGTTTCTCGAAAATGAAATCACTCGACCACAACCCTGCGCAAGCCTAACGCCATCCGTCACCTTCTCGCGTCATATACCAATATTTTTTTTCGACGACAGACCTCCAGGGTAAACATCCGCCGTTAAGCACCGTATAAACACTGGTGACACCAGTCCTATTCGCCAAAGCCCCTATCGTGTCTCCCACACTGAACGCAGTTATCCAAACGGAAGTTCACAAAATGGTCAACAAAGATGTCATAGAACCATCAAATAGTCCTTGGGCCTCCCCTGTCATCATTGTGAAGAAAAAAGATGGTACCTGGCACTTCTGCGCTGACTATAGCCACCTCAACAAGATCACGCCAAAAGACGTATACCACGCATCGATGACACGTTGGACTGCCTGCACGGCGCTACATACTTCTCGTCTATTGATTTTCGGTCCGGCTACTGGCAGAATTCTGTCGATGAAATGGACCGCGAGAAGACGGCCTTCATTACACCGGATGGTTACACCAATTTAAGGCCATGTCTTTTGGACTATGTAACGCCCCTGCGACATTGGAACAATTGATGAACTCTCTCCTGCGCGGCTATCGTGGTCTACTTGTCTCTGTTACCAAGACGACGTTATAGTCTTTTCATCTACTTTTGATAGCCACCTGACCCGTCTCACTGCAATTCTCGCAGTTTTCAGAACAGCTGGGCTACAAGTGAATTCCAAGAAATGTCAATTTGGCCGCCTTCAGATTGCCGTTCTGGGCCATCGTGTAAACGCCGATGGCATCCGATCAGATCCCGAAAAAATCCGCGCTGTCTGTAGCTTTCCGGTGCCCCGTTCTACATCTGACGTCTTGAGCTTCATCGACTTAAGTTCGCACTTTCGTCGTTTTGTGAAAAACTTCGCCAACGTTGCCAGGCCACTCACAGATTTGAGAAGAAGGATACTACATTCTCACGGGGCCCCGAGCAGGCTCAAGCCTTCACCGCTCTCATGGGCTACTTAACAACGCCCCTCATACTTGCCCGCTTTAATCCTGCTGCCGCGGAAGTTCGCACTGACGCCAATGGCCACGGTATCGGCGCAGTTGTAGCTCAACGGCACCACGGTAGACAGTGCGTGATAGCTTACGCCAGTCGTCTGCTTTCTCCCCCAGAGAGGAACTATTCCATCACCGAGAGATAGTGTTTAGCTTTAGTCTGGGCTGTCGCCAAGGTCCGGCCATATTTATATTGTTGCATATTCTCCATCGTTACAGACCATCACACCCTCTGATAGCTAACTTCTTTGAAGGACTTGACTGGACATCTGGGTCAGTGGGCTCTGAGGCTCTAGGAA